GGGTGAAGAAGCTTTCGCCGAAGCACGCAAGCGAGATGCACCTATCTTCTTATCAAGTAATTGAAAAATTTGTTTTGATTCCTTTTTGTTCTTCATTTTTTTTTTTTGGAGAATTTTGTTTTATGTAATTAACTGCTGCTTGCAGTGTGATATTAATGGCGACTCAATTCGAAGGTGGGTACAGCAATTTACTCGGGTACACCCCTCTCTACCCGGGTAAATAATTTAAGCAATTTTTCAGATCTCAAGAAATATACCCGGGTACATCCTTCTTTACCCGGGTAGGTATAAAATTTTAAAATATACCCGGGTAGGAGGGGTGTACCGGGTAGACTTGGTGGTAAACGGTCAAACATGGGCAGATTGATGTTATGTTTTTTAAGGAGGTTAAATTTTTGAAATAATTTAAAATGAAGGTCAATTTGGTAATTAATTATTAATAAAGGATTATAAAGATAAAAAAGCCTTATTTATGTATAAATAATATAAAATATTATTCGCATATTTTTTTTTTTAGGTTTAATTTGTTATCACTTATCACCATTTTTTTAGTTTATTTTTTTTCTTAAACATCAATATTACGATATATATATATATATATATATATATATATATATATATAAAGAAATATGACGTGTAAATTACTTTTTTTTTCATAAATTGTAAGTCACGCATCATGCCTTATTTGAAAAAATCACAAGATTTTTTTTTATGTGCGGTCATTTCAGCAATCAATATCTTGAATGGACTGCAAGAAATTCAAACAGCAATAATGTTTCTCAACTACAGCTTATGAATTATTATGGTAGACAAGAAAATTATCATCACAAAAAGTCAAGAGTTTTCCTTTTTTTCATTTATTTAAGGGATAAATTGCATTTCTACACACAATTTTGGGTGACGAGGGTTTTTTATTCCAAAATTTATAAGTTAAGACAAATAAATTTTATTTTAACTTTTATTTTTTTGTTATTAAGTTTGATTTTATACACTAGCTTTTCTTATAAGTTATTAGTTTACTTTTTAAAAAATTTAAATGCTTTTAAATATTTAAAAATGATTAGATCATAAAATTCAATCATAAATATGATAAATCACTTTTTTTTTTTTGGCAAACCGATAAATCACATTTTAATTTCATTATTAGTATCAACTAAATTATTAAGAATCTTGATAGTGCTAATCAGGAGCACATCCTGTTTTTATTTATTTATATATAAAAATAAATTTTTTAATTTAACTCTCTCTCTCACGAAATTTTCTGGCAATGAGACTAGCTAAGCCTAAAATGTTTTTTTTTTAATCTTTTATGGCCTCTAGGTTTTGTTTCAATTTTTTTTTGTCAAATTGATTTTCATAAGTTGTTTGATTTCTTAAGTAAGTCTTCATAATCTGGCAAAGTCTATATAAACTTGACGTTTTTAACTAAGCAATTTTTGTAAATAAAAGGTAAAGTTTTTGAGATAAAAAAAATCTTTTAAGTGAATCCAAAGAACTATACTTAAATATAATATAATATATACTATTATTTTTATTTATTCAGTGGTGCCTCCACGAAGGAGCTTAGATGAACGGTTGCTTACCTCAATCTCATATAACCTTTGTCTTGGATCACAATCAAATTTAAGAGAAATAAAATGTGACATAAGTTTGCCTCTCTTAAAACTCAATTTTTTAATTTATTATTATTTTTATTTTTATTTTGAGATATTTCAATCAATTCATTGCTTCGCGACTAGTCTGATTTGGGATGAGTCTCGAATTAATGTTTTAAATCTCTCTCAAAAATGATACTGGAACAGATCGAACATATACTTTTACCTCCACATGCTCAGTTCTCTAATATCAACTAAGCTATCATCATTTGATTTCAATTTACTATTCTTTATATATTAAAAAAATTTGCAGAATTTTTTAAATCTGGTTACACATTGATACATATTTATTTTACCCTCCTAAAGTTATTGGAACTTTGACTCTTTTACTTCCTCTCATAAAAATTTGTTGGCTCTGCCAACCTACTAAAAATTTTAAACTCGTTGATTTGTTCAAACGTTTTGTCTCCTTAATTTGGGCAAAAGCACATTTCTAAGACCACTGCCTAAAATAATTATTCAGTTAAAATTGATTGGATAAATTTTTCCAAACTAATATAGTTGATTAGACCAGTCCAATATAGATTGGGCTAAATCATACACGGTTGAATAAAGACTTTGGATTGTAAGCAGTACTTCGTGGGCTTGAGACATTCACTGTGTATGTGAAGGTTGAAGAATACTGTTGGCGCACTGGAAATGAATGAGAGGATACCTGCAAAGACACTCCAACGCTCAAGTCAGTATTAGTGCTAGGTTTATGTTATATTTAGTGGGAATCAGATGATCATACTTGAGTTTGTACCCTTCATATTTATAGCAAGCTTTATGCCTCCTTTGGTTGGCGGCATGCCTTCTTATTGGTTATTATGGGCTGCAGACTTTTTTGTCTTAGCTGGTGTTTTTCTGACTATAAGTCTATATATTTGTTTGTCTTCCTATAGTGGTAGCAAGCTGAAGCTGTCTCACGAGTGTTGGTCTTCATGTGCGGTGTGACTCAGCTTGTTGCAGAGTCTTTCCTTAGCCTTTAAGTTACGTAAGGCGACATAATCTGCGCAATGCATGTCTGCGTGATGCCTTCTTGGACCCTTTATGGGCCTTGAACCTTATGGGCCTATGTAATTATCCAGATCAGTAGTCAAATACGTAAACCTTACAGGACTAGTCCCGTCTTTGATCCTGACGGAACTGATGCCACATCAGTATCATGTAGGCAGTTCTGTCACCGTAAAATTTTGAAAGACCATAACTTCTGACTCAGGTATCCAAATTAGGTATTTTTTTATTTCACATAACTTTTTGGGATCTACGAAATGTCACATCTTTTGACATATTTTATCCCCACCAAACATAGTTTGAATTTACAGTAATGGTGTCATAATCACAACAACGTTTAATCCATAAGCTCTCGAGTTCTTTCCGAAATAACACCATAAGCTGCAGCACATGCCATCAATTGACACATTTTATCTATGTAAAACATATTCAACTTGTCATAAAATAGGTATTTGTATCCCAAAATTTTCTATTCATGACAGTGGTTTAGTCTCCATCAACGCACATAGACAACAACAGATAATAACGTTTCTTCTTATGGAAAGCCCAAAGTACTGATCTTGTTGCTGAAAAAATCATTGGTTTAGAGGCTAACCTTGGGAAAACTAGGACAAGAAATCGATGGCACGTGCTCCAGCTCATAGTGTTGATTCGGAAAGAACTCAGGATTTTTTGATTTTAAACAATTTCGTGATTATGGAATCATTGTTGCAAATTCGAACTATGTTTGTGGGAGATAAAATATGCTAAATGAGGTATCATTGTGTATATCTTGAAAAGTTATGTGAAATAAAAAAATCTGATTTGGATACACGAGTTAAAAGTTATGACCTTTCTAAGTTTTACGGTGATGAAACTGTCTACGTTACGCTAACATGACATCAGTCCCATCAAGATCAGTAACGGGACTAGTCCCGTAAAGTTTCGCGACGTGTTTGGCTGTATTAGTTTGAAAAAACTTATCCAATCAACTTTAACTAAACAATTCTTTTACCCAACAATCTTAGAAGAGTGCTTTAATCTCTTAATTTGTTTAAAGACATATTGCAGAAGTAAGATTTTAAATAACCTTTAAAGTGGGAATAATTAAGTCAAAATTTGGCCTAACTCATTTTCACTCTTGATGAATTCTTAACATCATTAGGTGATAGACTCAGTTGCAGAACTTTAGAAGTTTAAGAACCTAATTACAGATTTTAAATTAACAAGGACTTATTAAAAATATGATGGAATTACAAAACATCCACAATAAATTTATTTTATACACACATATATTTATATGTGAAGTTCATATTTTTTTTCTCTTCTTATCACATGGACATATATGGGTTTCACACACTTATATATATATATATATATATATATATATATATATATGGAGAAACTATTCTTATGTCACATGACATAAATTTTTTCTCCTACACACCTTTCGATAACTGTGCCACATTTTTCTTTTCTTTTTCTCAGTGGTGGAACCCACTAATTTGTCACTATGACATGAGATAACTATCTCCTTTAACATAAGATTAATAAAACTCATATATATATATATATATATATATATATATATATATATATATATATGAGGTATAATTTATCTACTATAATATAAAAAACACTAAATTACAAGTTAATACACCAAAATCAGTCAAAAGTTTAGATAAATAAAGGTGTGTTACCTATTGAAACATGCTTTTGAGTTAGACTCCATATAACAATAAATAAATAAGAGAGTGAAAATTAAAGAGGGTGCCATATAATAACAATATAATAACAGCCTCCATCACATTCAATTTCAAATAAAGCTTCACCACCTGTTGCTCACACAATATAGTATCTCCGATCAGCATGATCCCGAGCGACGCGGCTCTAGCTGAACCACCACCACCTAGGTGCGCTCTATCTAGCTTCTATTCTCACAAATCATGGTTCACTGCACTACATTCGCACTCGCTTCAACTTCAAGAAATGGGAATCCTCCAAGTTGCTAACTTTTTTCAAAACAAAACCGTGCTTTTCTCTCTCTCTCTCTCTTCCACTTTCTGTTTCCTTTCAATTCAATTTAGTTGAGTTGAGGAGTTGAGGTTCCCGTTACTCGTTTACTTTGACCCCCCGCTTTTTTTGTAAAGGTCACACGCATTCTCTCTCATCCCACTACTTCATCAGACATCACATGCATTACCAATTTACAAAAGCAGAGATTTTTTTTTTAAAAAAGAAAAAAAAAAGCACTATAACTATAACTAAAATGGAAGAACTATTGCTTTCGCGTACATATGTAGAAAAAGAAGATTTGAGAACTCTGACGGTGACTATTCGTCAGTGCACCACATTCAAAAAAATTCCCTTTTCTGAACACTGCAAAACAAAGCAAAACGACATTATTTGAAAATTAAAAATTCATTCTTTGTCTCCAACTCCAGAACCCCTTTACTCAAGATTCCGTTTTTTTTTTTTTCCCATTCCCTCAGAACCTCTTTAACTCGTTGAAATTTTCAATTTTGGAATTGTTTCATAAATTAACGTGATTTGGGTTCAGTTCTTCCCAGAACCAATAGTTTCCTCTGTAATTGCATTCATTCATTGTTTTTATTGCCCATTAAATATCAGAAACCCATTTCGTGAATGAGGATTCAAAGTTATATATATGCTTTGTGGATTTTTAATTTCTGAGTAATGGACATATACTTTTGTTTTAAAAGTGCTGCATAGTAAAAATTTTGTCCACCATTTTAGTGGCTGTTATGGGTGATGATGGTAGAGTTGAAGTTGTGAGTGTTAAAGGGTGCTCAAGGCTGTTTTCGTCTTCTTTTTCTTCATTCAGAGGTTTGCAACCATTGGAGCCAATGCCTCCTGTTCCGTCCTCTGTGCAAGTGCGATCAAATGCTCCTTTTGCTGGCCTTGTTATATGTGTTACTGGTTTATCTAAAGGTTTGGATTCATGTATTTGGTATTTCATCTTTGGTTGATTGGATTTCGTTTCATTTTTCTTGGGAAGGCGCTTTGTACTCTCTTTCTTTTTTACCCCCACCTTCTGTTGGCATATTGTTTAGTAATCAATTACTTCAAGCCATTGGCTGAATTCTACAAAAATGTATTCATAGCATTTTCTTTTTGAAAGAGTGAATCTTATTCTTTCCATTCCTCTCCATTTCTGATGATTTGTGACATAGAGCGAGGTGAGGGGGTGAAGTGTATAGGTGATTGTGCTTCTTTGCAATGTAAAATGTCAAATGACTAAGTTATTTGGACTTTTTAATGCAGACTGCTGCTATCTGCCTCTTCTGATTTATCTTTGGCGTTTTTTCTTGTTGGGGTTAAGAAATGAGAAGGGTCTGCTTTGAATTATCTATTTAGATTATAGTGATCAGTACATATTTGCTGTGAAGAAATCTAACTTCCTTTGCTCTCTTCTCTTTTTCTTTGTCTTCTTTGCATAAAAAAATGTTCATTTTAGAGGTTGAAAAGGTGTAGTTTTAGTTATCTTTCAAACTGATAGTAGATATTTACTGTGTTTCTCTCTCTCTGTCTCCCTTTTTCTCTCTATGACAAGTTAAAAAGGTATTCACTATGTTATGCTCTCTGGATTGTTGTTTTGGCAGAAGCAAGGAATCAAGTCATGGACGCTACAGAGAGATTAGGTGGCCAGTATAGCCCCAATTTGCATCCGCAATGCACCCATTTGGTGGTTCAAATATCCTTTCCTCTTCCTAAAATTATATGAACTTTCCTACATAATGATAGCAATAGCATGATGCAGTAGTCGGAAAATGTGGTTCTCACATACTGTCATACACTCTGGGGAAAAATTGTGTAAAATCCACAGAGTCTTTTCTTCTAAAACTCTTGGTTGTGGGAGTGAACAAAGTTTCGTACCTTATCAATTCTTCTACTTCATTGAAATTTATTTGTGCTGTGTTCAGAAAGATCTTATTGTGTTATACTTAGAGTGGATCTCTCATATGATCATGATGGTTTCTTCCCATTCATTTCCCCTAGTATTGATATTCCTCTAGTACATTTTGTTACTTGGTTCAGCGCTGTCATGAAATCTTTAACATCTAGTACAGCTTTGGTGGCCGTAAGTTTGAGCATGCCGTGAAGCATGGGGTAAAAAATGGTATCTTTATTGTCACTCTGGGTTGGTTTGTGGATAGTGTCAGGAAAAATGGTAATTGAGTTCATTTGGTTTTTTATTTACATGTTTTGGATTATGGTTAGCTTTCTCGGTGATTGTAATTCAGCCCTTGTGCTATGATGTCATGCAATACAGGAACCTTTCACAGCTTTCATATATTGCCCCGTTTCACCTCTTTTTGAAGTTAGGCTGTTGTGCTGAATGTATCTTAAGCTTAAAGTATCAGTCTAATATTATTTAACAAACTACACATTGTTGTTGTGATTACAGTCAGTGGTGTAGTTTGTAGTGATTTACTGTTTAGATACTGCTGCTCATTTTGAGGAGGAGTGGTAAAGCTTAAATTGATACAATGACCTTTTTATTTCATATGATGTTTTAAATCAAACAATCCATCAGATTTGGCAATGCCAAATTGCCTATCTGCAAAAGCAATTTGTAGGTCAAGAATGGATTTTCTGAAGTAAATGCTTTGTTTTAGCAATAGCATCTTGTTGCACTTGATTGAAATATCATAAATAAGGTGCTTCCATGTTTAGTCTTTTAAGGTCATATGGATTTTCAGTTTTACCGGGTAATTTTATTTTTCATCTTTTTTATCTCTCTGTCTCTCTGAATTGATATCAATAATTAAATAGCAAAACTGAATGATTATAGCTAGAATGGTTTATGAATTTAAATGATACATATTGGTATCAGTAAATTTTTATGACCTGAATGCATTTTCTTTTATCTGCTGCAGTGAGGTTGAGTGAATCACATTATAGTGTGAAGAGTTATGGGGATAACAATATGCGCTTGGATGATTTTAAATTGCTTCCTGTGCATACAAATACTGAAAATTATTGTCTTCCTGCAAGAATCCTTGAAACCAAGCATGCTAATAGTGTTGAAGAATTTCAAAGATTCTCTGGGAGAGAGTCTAACAGAAATTTGGACTCAACTTTGTCTGGTTTCTCTGTCTATGTTGATCCAGGCATTTCATCTGAATTACGGAACAAGGTAAAATCATGTATTCTAACAATAAATATCCAGACATTTTTGTGATTATATTAGCTATATGTGAAGTCTTCCACGTGATATGGAATCTGTTATAGGATAGTCGGTATCAGTTTCCTGTTTCAGTTAAGCTAGTGTATTATTCAAGTGCTCTTAGCCAACGCATTAAGATGCTTTAAATATTTGATAGGTTATTGAGACTGCCTCAAGAGAAGGTGCTAGTTTGGTGGAACAATGGTTTGTTGGCTGCAATGTTAGTCATGTAGTAACTGAAGGGACGTCCATCCAAAGATATCTTGGATACACTAGTAACCTCATTACAGTAAGTGCTCCTACAAATTTTAATGTTTATCTGAACATTGAGAATGACCTTTTGGAGGCATGCAACTTTCTGAAGCTCAGACTGTTTGCTTGTCCCGCTATTTTGATTTTTTAACTGTACCATTACATCTTCAGGAAGACATTAATATTTTATTAATTATTACACTAGGGAAGCCTTTACAGTTATATTTATATTACAGTGAAGTTCTTTTATATATGATATGTCTCAGCCACTGTGGATTCTCAAAACAGCTAAGGAGAAATATGTGCAAAGGCTTGTTCACATGTCTGCTGATTTGGCAAGGCAAGTTGGCTTAATGCTTGAAGACATTCATAATGGCATTTCAGGGAAGGTAATTTCTCAAGATATTCCTTTATAATTTTGAAAATCATTTTTTCCTATTTTCCATTGCACTTTCACTAGAAAAGAAGATTTGTATATTATTGGATTATAACATATTTGTACAAGAGTTCTCTATTTAAAGAGATTAAAAACCCTAATGGGCTAAGGCCAAATACACTGATAGAGTATTCTAGAGTATTCTATTACAAAATAATAATAAAATAATTCTATTATTTACAATACTCCCCTTCAAGCTGAGGAATGGATATTTATCATTCCTAGCTTGGTAGTAAGTTCCTGAAATCTATCATTAGGAAGACCCTTGGTTAAGACATCAGCCAATTGACGACCAGAAGGAATGTATGGAGTAGTGATCAGTCCACTGTCTAATTTCTATTTAATGAAGTGGCGATCAATCTCAATATGTTTGGCTTTGCTTGTATCCCAATGAAAGCATGACTTTGGTAAATCTTCCAAACCAAGCACACGGGGATTGCTTCAAACCATACAACGCCTTCTTTAACCTGCAAACTTTATTATCTCCATTTGTAGAGTTAAATCCTGGTGGAATCTCCATGTAAACCTCCTCTTCTAATTCACCATTGAGAAAGGCATTTTTCACATCAAATTGGTTCAAATCCCAGCTAAAATGAGCAGCGAGGGACAATAGAACTCTTACAGTGTTCATTTTGGCCACTGGAGCAAATGTTTCTTCGTATCAATGCCATAGGTCTGTGTGTATCCCTTGGCTACCAATCGAGTTTTATACCTTTCAAGAGTCCCATCAGAATTATACTTCGGAGTATACACCCATCTGCACCATACTGTCCTTTTTCCATTTGGCCTGTCAACAACTTTCCATGTATTATTCTTCTCCAATGCATTCATCTCCTCATGCATGGCTTGAACCCAATTATCATCCTTTAATGCTTCATGTACTGATTTCGGGATTGAAATGGAGTCAAGTGCTGTAATAAAACTTCTATGCTGCATAGAAAGATTCTTAGAGGAATTAATATCAGGCTCAGAATTAATATCAGGCTCAGGAATAAAAGAAGTAGTGTGTTCAGTACTTACCAGCGGTTCGGGCGATTGCAGCTGCTGTTGGGGCAGTGTGGGTTGTTTCTTCCTTTGGTACAATAGTTTGGGTGTCCCAGCTTTGCGTACTTTCTGTCTATCAATAGGAGGCATGTCACATGAGGAATCAGATGAATTTTCAACCTCAGCAATTAAGTCTTCCTTCTCATTGTCATGTAGTGTAACTACTGGAGTAGAAGATGTAGGTAACTCAGATGAATTTTCAACCTCAGCAATTAAGTCTTCCTTCTCATTGTCATGTAGTGTAACTACTGGAGTAGAAGATGTAGGTAACAGAAAGGGAGACTCAGACTCGAAGAAGATGGATGAAGCTTCTACACTATTCTCCCTTGAAGCTGAGGGTGTAGAAAGTAAGACTCAGATTCATGGAAGCTAACATCCATAGAGACAAAGAATTTACGACTTGGAGGGTGGTAACATTTGTATCCTTTCTTGTTAGGAGCATAACCAAGGAAGACACACTTAAGGGCTCTAGGCTCTAATTTACTCCGATGTTGTTTATGGATATGGACGAAGGCAACACATCCATAGATACGAGACTGGAGACTTTGCATAATTGAAACAGAAGGAAAAAAAAGAGGTAATGAGATCAACAGGACTTACATGGCCAAGGACTCTAGAAGGCAAGCGGTTGATCAAATAGGCTGCAGTTAATAAGGCTTCTCCCCAGTAAGAGTTGGGTACAGATGTCTGAAATAATAATGCTCTGGTGACTTCAAGCAAATGTCGATTTTTCCTTTCAGCAACCCCATTCTGTTGAGGGGTATCCACGCATGTGAGCTCATGAATCATACCCTTATTTGAAACGAATTGTGACAGACGCTGGTTGACATACTCCGTACCATTGTCAGATCTTAATCTCTTAATACTTTTACCAAACTGTGTCTCAATCATTTGATAAAATCGAATAAACAATTCTGGTACTTCTGACTTATCTTTCATCAAGAATATCCATGTCACCCGAGTGCAATCATCAATAAAAGAAACAAACCACCTAGCACCTGAAATATTATGTACTTTAGAAGGGCCCTAAACATCTGAATGGATAAGAGTAAAAGGCTCAATGCTCTTTATTGAACTTGAAGGAAAGGCCACGCGGTGGTGTTTCACAAGCTCACAAACATCACAATGGAAGGAGTCAATTGCCTGATCCTTAAACAAAGAAGAAAACATTGACTTTAATAAGCCAAATGACGGGTGCCCCAGGCGTTTGTGATGAAGCCAAATCTGTGAGAATGAAGTAGACGGGTGATGACTCATTAATAATTGATTCCCGGTATCCCTTGTAGCATGCTCTGTAATGAGATAGTACAACCACCTTGCTCCTTAGCAACTCCAACCGTCTTTCCCGTGGTGATATCCTGAATAACACAATGGGTAGGAAAAAAAGTGACAGCACAATTCATGTCAGTTGTAAGCTTATAAGTGGAGATAAGATTGGTAGGGAGCTGAGGAACATAAAGAGCATTCTTTAAAAATAAGGAAGGTTGAATTTGAATGTTACCAGAACCCATAACTGATTTGTGGGATCCATCAGCTATAGCTATAGTACGGATACCACTATTAGGGTGATATGAAAGAAAAGAATCAGCTAGACAGGTCATATGATCAGTTGCACCAGAATCCATAATCCATGAATTTTTGAAATCAGTGCAAGATGTAAGAAGAGATGTAGGGTGTGTGATCTTACCAAACATAGTTGATCAGAAAAATAAAAAATATTTTTTTTAACAGTACGAGTGAACAGTACCGGTGAACAGTACCGATGAACAATGTCGTGAACAGTAGCGATGAACACTGCTGTGAACAGTTTTTTTTTTTTTTTTTGAGCTGTTCCAGTCGTCTGATGAAAAGGAAACCTCCGTAGAATGATAGATCTGAAAAAATGGAGTGAAACAGGGGTCCTCACGGTCCAAAAGGTCCCCAGAAATTTTTCCGATGGCGGCTTTGTGGCGGCGAGAGGCAAATAGGGTTTGGTTTTTTTAAAAGCGGTGATTTGCGGAAGCAGAGCCCTAAGAATCGAGAGCTCTGATACCAACTAGAAAAGAAGATTTGTATATTATTGGATTATAACATATTTGTACAAGAGTTCTCTATTTAAAGAGATTAAAAACCCTAATGGGCTAAGCCCAAATACATTGATAGAGTATTCTAGAGTATTCTATTACAAAATAATAATAAAATAATTCTATTATTTACAATACTTTCTGGCTTAGTAAAACATGTTCACTAATATTGAAAGAGTTGTTCGACTAATTCTCTAGTCATGTACATAGTTCAACCTCAGGTGTTACTCAGATGGTAAACAGGTGTCTACTGTCTAGGGTTGGTATGCATATGATTGTTTTCTTAAACAAATAGTACCACAATATAAGGAAACAGTACAATTAATATGTCATAGTTGTCAATAACTATTGTAAAAGACAATAGTTATCTCTTGGAAAATGCACAAGTCCATCTACCCATGTTAATTAATTATTTAATAATAGAATGGGGGAGGGAAGGCAGTGAGGATCGAACTCGTAACCACTTGATTACAAAGGCTCGTATACCATGTAAAGAATCAATTGAACCCAAAAGCTTAAACTGTTAGGTGAAGGTTATGATTTTATATTATATTTCTCTAACAACTATCAAATGTGATAGTTTGCACATTTTATCAAATATCTCTTACAAAAATATGTTTAGTAATTGTCAATAACTTTATCATATTTAATTTTTCTATTAAAGCAATATTTTAAAAACCCAACCAGAGATTGAGCCGGCAAGGCCTTTGAGTTATGATTTGATTGGTTCAACCGGTAAAATTTGTGGTTTAGCCATTGTTGAACCAGATAATATTAGGGCTGGAAACATAGCCACTTCACGGTTCGACTGATTGAACCGTCCGGTGCAATCCGGCTTTTAAAACATTTCTATAAGGTGTTAAAACCCTAGATTTGCCACCCTTTTCATGGAATTGTGATTGTATTTTTTTTATGTATCAGAAAGTAATAAAGCAAAAAGTCCATGACGATTGTCAGGGCAGTGAAAGTGAAGTTAGTTACAAAGAAAGGCAACAAATTGTGAATTATGCAAAAATTGGTGTTAGAAATCGCCGCGGTCGTCGAATGCAGGTCAGTCTTTCATTTACTTCTGTCTTTTCTGTGGAAGGACTTTAGGCAGCTGCAAACCTGATTCCTAAGTAACACGAATGGAAAAGACAACCTCATTTTGTTTTACTGTTTGGTATACTTGGTGTTCTCTGTCTGGGAGGTTCTGACTTTTATAACAAAGCTAAAGATTGGAGCTATGAATTGATTGTATGTTCGATTTGATCATGGTTTTGCAGACATGTCAGACACCAATTCGTCCTATAACGCCCAACAACCTTCTGGACTCTATCTGTTGGTCAATATCCGAGCCAACTTCAAATGCTTCAATTTACACAGACTCTTTCAGTGTTGAAGATCCTAGTGAAAATCATACTTCTGTATTTTTTGATGCAAAAGTGGATGGCAAGGATTCAGAAGCTTCATTTTCAAACTCCACTCGTACTCTAACAGAAAGGTTGTTGTTTTTACTCTCTGCCCTGAGGGTTATATCTTTTCCTTATGTAGCAGACGTGACAAAATTATTGGGATTCTTGTAATCTTTTTCAAGGTCATTTTTTTTTTTGTTTATGGCTTTTTGCAGTGAGAAATCTGAGTTGATATTTAAAAACCATTTTCTTACCATACTCTTTCCAATTGACCGGTTTGCTGAGATGGGTCCTTCTTCAAGAACGTTCTTAAGCCATAATGGTTTTACGTGTCTTCAGGTGTTGGATCATATCCATGCATTTTATGAGGTACAATATTTATTCTTTTCTGAATTTGCATGCCTTATTGGCTTTCTCTTTAAATTTTGGTTTCTATTGTTCATGTGGTGTGGTGATGTACTTTATTTATGATAGGAGAACATGTCAAGCCAGGAAATAGAAGCTGCAATTCACACTGATTCAAGACATGCTGATAGGCTTCGATCAGTGTACTCCAGTAAGGAAACAACAGAGCGTGGCTATGTGATGTTCAAAAGGATTGAATTCTTGGGTAGTCGTACAAGTTTTGAAATGTTGAAACGTGTAACTGGGGACAACAACTCCAACGTGTATGAGCTATTACTTAGGGCGTAAGTTACCATAGCTGGTAACTGGCAGCATCTAAATCCTACAAGGATTGTCTCTGTAACATGAAGATATTAATTTTGATGGAATTTGTATAGTTGGTTGTTGGGTACTGTTTTCATTAATATATTGCTTTGAAATTTTATTATTATTTGAGTTATATGAGATGGAGTCAAGAAAAGGTTATCTAATAAAAGATCCAAACTTGGACACCAACAACATACGTAGGTTTTTTTATATATAAATTTTGGTACATACCTAAGTCTTTAATATTTGGGTTACTGTCAATTGAGTTATAAGCTCCTTACTTATATGGGATGATTGTTTTGAATAATATTTTATATTTGGTTCCTAGCATATGGAATCTCAACTCATGTAAAGGCTTTGTGAGTCGATAATTAATGCAAAATAGAAATACGATTTCATGTACCAAAAAAAAAAAAAAAAGGAATACGATTTCATTGTTATTTTTAAAGCAGGTTAAATTATGTTTTTTTTTGTTAATTTCTCAGCATTTTTTTTAATGTAAACATACACATTTTTTTTTTAATATGTATGAGAGATACACACGTCGAATTGATCTAATATATATCCTTTTAAACTAATTTATTAAACGAACAGCTGTTGAATTATTTCTGTTAAAAGCATATTTATCATAATTAATAAGTTGAACAGATGAATTATTTTACTGTTACAGATATATTTATCATATTAAGTTAACTTTTTTCATATTCAACCCGATTTAGTCCGAGCCCGACCATGCTTGAATCGGATAATCAAATTGAATAAAAATGAAAAATTCAACTTCTAATTATATTGCTTAAGCTTCTTCTTACCTTTAAGTATTTTGAATTGATTTAAAAATTTCATGTTGTACTTTTATCTTAATTTAATAATTAAAAATAAAATATATCAAATTAAATTTAAATTATAAATTCTTTACAAATGTAGATAAAAATATTTCGTGTAACATAAAAATAGCATAGTATGTACTAAAAAGAAATAGCATACTAGATACAAGAAATAAATAAATTAGATTGCCGTAACCTTTTATAAGAAATGCAAAGACTGTTCATGAGTCAAAGTTGAATACAACACCGTATTTTCATTCAGTCATTTTTTTAGGCTCACCTCACTCGCTCATGCCAGCCTAATGAGAAGGTCAAAACGAAATCAATTGATATTTATATAAAAGGGTTTGCTTAAGTACTAAAACACAAACCCCTTATATTTTTTTTAATTATAAACTGAGCAATAAAAATTCAAACCGATAAATAATTTTTTTTCTTTTATATTGTTATTTAGTTTGTATGAAGCAGTCTACAAATTTTAACAAAAAAAATTTTATTTCAAAAAAAGAAAAACAGCACGATGCAAAATAAAACTCACAAACTTAAACATTATATAATTAAATCATAGAATTTTTTGAAATAAAAACTAAAACTAGAATTTTTATACTTCATAAAACAAATTATATCAATGCAAAAATATTATCATATTAATTTAAAACAATTTATTATTATTTCTTAAAAATGTTTTAAATATTATATAATATGAAAAACAGGTTAGAGATGAAATCGAAAAGGTCAAGAGTCAATTCAAAATAGGAGTTGAGCATGACCTAAAAGTAAATTGGTCCTGATTTCAAAACCCTGATCTGGCTGAATTAACATCAACCCGAAAATGAGTTCTTTGCACCTCTTAATTGCAGCTAGTGCAAAGGCTCGTGATGAAACTCACTTTCACTGAGAAGATATTTGTGAAAGAAAGAATTACTTTTAATGTTACATTATCAATCGTCGTTGTCTGAGTTTTCTTCTCCATCTTCCCACGGGAAAGGAAAGGAAAGGAAAAGCAAAAGGACATCTCAAACGTCACCTCTTATTTTTCCTTTTAATTCCCCCCAAAGTGAGGGGCTATTTTTTCCAATCATTTTCTCTTATTTTGCAATACTAGTGCCACAATTTTGCACCCACAAAATAAGGCTAACCAACCATCTTACCCCTATTTTAATAAAAAAATATCACTTTACCCCTTTTTCCATATTATATATCAATTTGTCCCTTTTCTCAAACTATATATATATATATATATCAATTTGCCCGTTTGACCAAAATTTGACTCACACTTACTCGAGTAAATAAGTTATTTACTTAAATAAATAACTTATCAAGAACTAGGATTTGATCAAACAGGTCAGATTGATATAGTTTAAGAAGAGGGGCAAATTAGTATATGATTTGGGGGAATGGACAAAGTAATAAATTGATTTTAAAAGAGGGGCAAAATGGTAAATCAACGCACCAAATAATCTTGTAAACATATCGTCCTGTACCATTGATTTGAGACAGTTTACCAAATAAATGGCACAAAACAACAGTGTCTTTGAGGGCACAAAGTCGTGGAACTAGCCATTCTCTTGTATACTCTCTCCCTTCTTTTTTATCCTTTCCTTTCCTTTCACTTCCAATAAACAGATAGATGGGATGGACTCTAGAAGGAAGAAAGATTAGGGATCACCAATCTTAAGTTTTCCCAGTCGTTGTAGCTCATGAAGCATTTGAACAGCAGCAGAGTCACATGAGCTCTTCTTATCACTTCTAGCTTCTCCTTCACATTCTATATTACCATCATTGGGTATGCATAAGGTAATTTTAGACACAAAACAGATATGTCCCTTGCTTCTTTCCACGGATTCAAATAGAGTTCTGTTACAAACAATAATCGTCAGATTAACAGTGTTATAGACTTGGAGGAGATTAACACATTTATGAATATATAAAATACATTAAAGATGGTCACAGAGAGTATAAGAAATGAATGATGGAAAGTACAAATTTGAGGATTCACCTGTCTTTATATTCTGTTGAATCAAACGCTGGCAATGGCCATTGTAGTCTCTTGCACAGCTCATATAGTGTGGTTCGGGGTCCTCCTTTCTTCATACTAATTGATGCAATAACTGTATAACATGAATCCAAAATCAAGTGAGTTTATAGGTAGTCATAAAATAAACTCCTTGCCCTTGGAATTGAAAATGACAATGAATCTACTACTTCGAAAGTCAAGGGTTTAAAATGCAAAAAGAAGACAGGTAGAGTGAACACTAAGCATCAGTCTCCGAACTAGCAGCACCCTATGACTATATTCCGCAAACATAAAAATGAACCATGAAAACAAATATGATGATATCTACTAAACGACGTGCAAAGAAATACCTACTTTATTTTTATTTCCCTTTCTTTTCTCCTTTCCAATTAAGATGAAAATAAAAAACATTTGCTTTGAAACTGGAACTAAACCATACCAAACTAGCTTCTAACAATATTCTTAGCATTGTTTATGATTATAATTTATATATGTTACAGCAGGAGAGTGATCACTAATCAATAATTCAGATGTCTCACAGAACTGAATAAGTGATATTTTTCCATTCTTCCTGAAAAATTTGAAATACGCCAAAAGTATATGCATTGATATAATGAGGCATAAGACAACTCTACGAAAGAGGACGGGAATAACCATAGCACTTCAATTTGCACTAATTATTTTCCATTAGTCAAGTGTCTTCTCAACAAAGGGGGTGAACCGGAACAGTGGTAAAAATTGTTCCTTCATGACTGAAAGGTCATGGGTTCGAATCCAGAAAACAACCTCTTTGCAATTATGCAAGAGTAAGACTGCGTACAAAGATTCCTCCACCCCACACTGGCTAGTCGGGTTTAACGGAGAGTGATTTTTTTTTTTAGTCAGTGTCTTCTCAACAACTCTTGGAAAGAATCAATTAAACACAAAAACTTAAGCTTTTAAGTGAAGCTATATTAATAGTTTTATATTATATTTCTCTAGCATGACAAGAGTCCATTGGGTTTGAAAGGTGAACAATACATAGATCCTGCTTGTGCTAAGAAGCTCCATAATATTTATTTTTTTATTAATAGAATGGGAGCGGAGAAGATCGAACTCGTGACCACTTGGCCACGGATGCTCTAATATCATATTAAGCACCAATTCAATTCAAAAGCTTAAGCCGTTAGGTGAAGGCACATTATTGATCTTATATTTTTATATTATATTTCTCTAACACGCCCCCTCATATGAGAATCCATTGGGCTTAAAGGATGGACCATATACAAGTCTATCTACCGTGCTAAGAAACTCCAAAATAATTATATATTGATAGAATGGGGGCGGTAAGAATCGAACTCGTGACCACTTGGTTTCAGAGGCTCTGATACCATGTAAAAAATCAATTCAACTCAAACCCAAAAGCTTAAGCTTTTGGGTGAAGACACATTAATAGTCTTGTATTTTTATATTTATCTAACAAACTATAAACACAAAACACATGAGACTACGATTGCATCAGTTGAAGTAGAGATAGGAGCAGGGACAGAGAGAGAGAGGGAGCGGAGTAATGACCTAAGCATTAAAAAAGCCACAAAAAGAAGCTGAGAAATTTTCCCAGAAGTGGAAATTATGTCATTGGGAAGACAAGATTTACTATCAAAATCAAAACAAAATTGACGGTACAAACCTGGAACAGAAGCATTAAAATCAGAGGTTTCACCGAAAGAGTCTTTGAGAGGTAAAAAACCAGCAGATGCACTTGCAGTTACGTTAGTTTCATCCAATTTGGGCCTTTTATGCACGACTGGCTTTGAGGAATGTTCGTCAGTTAGACCAGAGCCAATACTAAAGTCCATTTTGAGAAAAGATGAATCACGGAGACAGTCAGGATTATCACTTTTTCCCTTAGAAATGCTACTACCATATGAAATTCCCCTCTTCTGTAACATCACAAGTGTAAGCCAAGTGGTCAGCAAAAAATAAATACTAAAAAGGATAGCAGTAACATGCAAAAATAACCAAAATTATACAAACCGGGATCCACATAAAAAATTTAAAGCACTTCCAAGGTAATCTTTTTCATTTTAATACAAACTGTGTTGGTAAGGTGGACAGAAAATTTTGTGATGGTTCATTCCAGTATTTAGTGTGCAAAACTAGATACTAGCCATTTATTTTTACCTTGTTATTTGATATGGAATTCTATCCCGTGGCCTCTTTTTCAGTTAAGGAAGCTAGGCTATACCAATTCCAGCACTTGGAGGAGATGAAATTAGAAAATAACCAGGTGAAACATTTTAGAGACTGTTTGTTTGCACCAGTAGATAATTTCTTCTGAGAGATTTCAGGCATGATCAATTTTGGGATTTTATTTTCCTCCATCCTATATGTTCAACAGTTCAAGTGTGCATGCTTCTATAGTTTGTTTAAATATTAGTTATCTATGATCAGTAACAATTTTGACTAATTTTTCCATAGAAGCATCAATTAAGTTAATCATCAAAAAGAAACATGGCTCGGTGAATTCTCAAAAAATAACACTAGAACAGTTCTGGGACTGAAACTAAGCATGAGATGAGAACAAACATTATCTCTAAATTACTTCTTCACTGACCCAGATTATGACAACCTGTACAGATAAAGCAAAGAACAATATACATAGATTTCAAGAAGCTTAGAACTAAAGAAGAAGGAAAAACAAATTCCAAGAGACATTGAGAGGAGAACAAACCTCAAGTTCCTTCAACAAATGAAAAGCAGCTTCTCCTTTTGCAGTTTTTTTATTGTGCCCCTTTCCCTCTTGAACCAAGAGGGCATGTGGCAGCTGTACGCTAAGCTCAACATGCTCCATGGATCCATTCTTTTCACAATTTTCTTTTACTTTTACAAAATATCCAAGTGAGTCGCATAATTGATTTAATTCCCGGAATGGAGGCAGTTCAAGTTTTTCAGGAGTAACAATGGGAGATAGTAGAGGATTGAAAATCTTCCACACTTCGTTAAGACTGAGCTTGCTATCAATTAGTACAGCCCCAGCAATACTTTCCACTAGATCTCCAAGTGCCTGTGTCATTTACAACAAAAAAAAGTTTAGTAAAGTAAAATAATTAGTTTACCCATTTCACCCATTCTATATAAGGATAGTAAACTAAAATCATTAAAATAAAATGAATTACATTCTTCTTTAGTGCTTAAAATATGAAAATTGATTTGCAAATCAATTCTATTCAAACATAGGAATTCGTTTCTATATCAAATCAAATCAATTTCATATTTTAACAATTCCAAACACAATATAAGAGAAATTCTAATAACAATGATATAAGTAACTAAATATCACTAAAGAATCAACCGTAATAATCACCATAAGAACTAACCTTGGGAGCTTTAATTCCTGGGAGAGTTCTGGTGTTGTTCTCTGATTCAAAAATGGACTTCACATATTCTGATATCTGATTCAGTAAAAACCCTGAGCTATGCAAGAGGTGTTTGTGAAGGTTTCGTCTAACAGCAACTTTAGCAAAATTTTCATTATTTACAGAAGCCGATCGCAGGTCAGTCAACTCTCCTGGATCAATATCTGCGTGACTCTGATAAAGATGCCATGTGATAAGCAGGTCCAAAACTGAGTCACCAAGAAATTCAAGCCTCTGCCAGAAATTCAATAAGTTGTTGGAGTATAATATAAAGAAATTTTCACATGTTAAATGTTCAATAAATTACTTATGATCTCATGAACAAAATATATGAAACTTCATAATTACCTCATAACAGCAGCCAATCCCAAGTTTTGTCTCAGACAAATGTGTGATTGCCTCCAATAACAGTCCCTTGACAGAAAATTCATACCCAATTTTCTTTTCAAGGCTTGCAATCTCATTTACTTTTGGCACACATGTGTGCAGAGAGGCAGCAGTGATGGCTTCAACAACCAAGGATGGTTTAAGGTCAGCATCAATCCCAAGCCATTTCATCACATGAAGTGACGCAATAAGTCCACCACCCACATAGTATGCTCCTATCAGAGCTTCAACACAGTCAGCAATAGTCTTAGAGCAAATCCAGCGGTGACCCCTGTCACAGAACTTCCCAACCACAATTTTTGGATCTTCAGTATGGAATTTTACGTCTAAAGGCACTTCTAGGGTTTCCAACCCGCAATCACAACGAACAATATGTATAGAGCGCTGTCCTGGAGCAACCCAACGGCGTGGTTCAAATGCAGAGTCTCGGATATATCCCTGTTTGATAAAATGGCAAAATAATCTGGCGTAACTCAATTCAATCCTAGCCCACATTTAAAAACTACAGAATGAATATTTTCCTTTTAGGGGTGGGGGAGGGGGAGTGGGGAGAGGGGAGGATCAAAATTCCCAAAACATAAGTTGTACTCTTTTTATTGAGCAATGATAAAACTGTTTCTTTGTAACTAGAGATCACGAGTTTGAATCCATGAGATAGCATTTTACAAAAAATGTAAGGATAAGGTTGCGTACAAGAATTTTCCTTATCCCTACTCTTGCAAGTCAGGATCCATGGGGAGTAGTTTATAAGCTGTACCCTTATTAAACCAATGAAGGTAGGAATTGCAAAGCAGTACGGTCCAGACACCGAAATAAGTTTTTTAAAATTAACACTTATTTTATGCACAATCTTTGACCTGTTTAAAAATTAAAATAATGAAAATAATCATTTCCACCACTTACTGAATATAAACATGCTTTCCAATATTAATTCTGATACATTCATAATAGTAGACAGCTAATATTAATAACACAAAAAAAAGTTTGGTGTTGAACCATGTTCATTAGAAACAAAAACCATTCAAGTTCCTGCACTTAAAGAATTATTCAATGGTTTTTTTAAATGGAATGATGTTTTCATCACTTGATCAAAGTTTGATTGTCTCCTCATTCAGAATTTTCTTCTGCTTACAACAAGACGTCCTTCAACCTAAGAAATAGGCTCAGTATTGATTATTGACACCGGATAGTAGTGGCCTAGTGGGTTTGTGCTTTGCCCACACTTCAAGTTCTTTTGGACTTAATCTCATAATCAAATGCACTAGAGATATATAAAAAATATATATATATGTACCGGCGTTTAACTAACAGCTAAACTTTTAGATGAACTAATTCATTGACAGTATTGAAATAAAAAGTAATAACCATAGTAAAGACTACCTGTAATTTGCGATCTGTTCCCAGTTTATGCAGGGTTGAATTACGAACAGCCCTTGATCGTCTGGCAGATAATTGTCCTTCATGTTTATTAGGATATTCAAGAAAGAGCTGACAGCTTACTGCATATTTCAAAACAGAATCTCCCAGCAACTCAAGACGTTCCATTGAAAAATTTTCACAACATCTTAAAGTTGTAAGTGCTTCTAGAATCTACATTGATAAAAAGAAAAGATGCATAAGATTATCATAGTGAAAACAGAAATCAACACTGAGTATATTATCCACAAAATTGGCTTATATAGGACAAACCAGGGAGCTATGTATGTTGAAATTGCTAGTCTGACCATTTATCTCTACTCTAAGCTGACTGGATAACATGAAAGATTCAATACGGTACATCATAGATGGTAGCAAGTACAATGACCTCAATACATCTCTATTAACATCAAGAATGCATAAAAGCTCGGGTGGAATGTGAACATGCGCGGGCACCTTTGGGATTACCGGGCCAGTTTGTGATGACTTGTACCTTGCATCTACTAAACTCCAAGAAAAAATATCATAATCAAAATTTCAAACATATTGCACTCTCACGGAAACACATTTTCAATTTCTCACAACATAATAAATATATGCAGGCTTACTTTGATGTGACCCGGGAATGTGTATGTACAAAACTTTATATACATCCTAACCATTAACTGAAACACAACCATGCTTTATTTCTTCTCTTTATTTGCTTCTTCTTCCACACAAAAATTTCAAGCATCCTTTTGAAAACTTGATGAAACTTTGAAACCCTATTCATTCCTTTCTCTTAAAAATAGACTTTTGGTTGAATCTTGGAGTTGAGGAAAGTGCTCCAAGGAGAAAAGGGTGCAACCCACTACTTAAAATTTGGCTTATTCAGCTCATTGAGGTAAACCCATCATCCAAAAACTTGAGAAAATCTATAATTTTGCATAGATTTGTTTAATGTACGTGTATTCTTGAGCTTTGAGCATAAATTTAGGATTTTTATCAATCTCCTCATTATCCCTTGTTAGCATATCCTTAAATAGTTTCTAAGGCTTTGTCAAAATATTTGTTGGTGTTCAGATTCACCACATACTAGCTCATTTACCTTACCCAAAGTCATTGAAAGTGCTTTAGTTGGTTCCTTAGAGCTGTGAGTGGATGCGTATTTTATTCTTATTATTATTTTTCAAGTTTTATTGTATCATTATTGTTTAATAACAAATGCATGGAGAAACAAATATTTTAAAATGTGATTGGTTTAAATTTAAAATGCATAAATTTACATGATATTGATTTTTATATAATAGCATCATATTATGATTTTTTACATTTATAATTATTTCATAAATGTTGGATATAATTTTTAATATCAACATCAACATCACCTTTAACCCAAGTGGATATAATTTTTAATAAATTTTTTTTTTTTATAATTTTTAATATGAAATATTTAATTTAAAATATTGAGATTTTAGAAGTATACTTATTATTGGAAGTGAATTGATTTGAATTAAAGATTTCTTTTTTAAAATATTTTATATATATTTTTGGGATCCATGTTAGAATCTCGTAGCCATTAGTAGGGGTAACGGTCTAGGTGCACCTAGTTTTTTATATGGATATTTTAACCGGGAGAAGATGGTTATCTGTTATATGGAGCTGCCCCAAGAGAGGCCACCTCTAAGATGAAACCGCCCCCAATGAGATTCTATGGTATGTTTTGACTTGAGAAAGGAAGGGGACGCCCATTAGATGGAGTCGCCCCTAGGGGTAAGACCACCCTTAAGAGGAGAAGACTATCAGCGAAATGGAGCTGTCGTTGCTTGATTCTCTCATGTGTGATCCCCATCATATTAAATTTATGATTTTATTATGCTTTGTAAAAGGGGCTAACCGGAGCAGTGGTAAAGCTGTCCTTTCATGACTGAAAGGTCATGGGTTCGAATCCAGGAAACAGCCTCTTTGCAATTATGCAAGGGTAAGGCTGCGTACAAGAATTGCCTCCACCCTACACTCGCTAGTCGGGTTTAGTGGGGAGTGATTTTTTTATTATTATTATGCTTTGTAAATGCTCTCTTTATAACTCTAAAAATTTTCTTGATTTCTTAGTCACACCTCTACTTTATTGATTTTATTTACATTATTTACTTTTACTGCTCAAATATGTTTGTGGCTAAGTTGTCAAAAGTATAAAGCACTTGTGCATATCTATTTCCTCTCCTTATTCATTGTGATTATTATGCCCTTCATTGAGTATGTGTGACTCACCCTTATTTCAATTTACCATCCAAATCACCAAGCAACTGAGTATTTTGGATAGGAGTCCTTTTGTTTATTTTGGAATTTTGACTATTTTGCAGCTATAGGAAGTGTATTAGAGAAATCATTTTGGGTAGTATTTCGTCTCTAAAGAATGAATTATATTTTGTTGTGGTGGTGGTTGTTGCTGGCTGGTAATATATATATATATATATATGTATATATATATATATGTATATATATATATATGTACATATACAAACACATTGCGTTGTGTACCAGGCGTTTGATTTGTTTTGTGAATGTTAGAAATATTGGTGAAACCCTGTCAAAATTTCAGTAAAATTCGGAATATGAATTTGTTGGAATTTCCTTTTATTTGTGGGTTCTTTGCGAAAGTTAGGCTTGCCGGCCTAAGGGTGTTTGGGCTCTTAGCCTATGCACTAGTCATGGCTTAAATGCGAGTCGTGATATTAACAGTCTAACACTTTAATGTCAATCATTTCAATTTGTGTAAATAACAATTTACCGAACCGAAGTTCTGAAATTCAACATCAATGCACCAAGTTACCCTATACCTTAACCACTACCAAGGTCAACAATTTCTTAATCATCATTTCTGTAAATTACGATTTACCTAACTGAAGTTCTGAAATTCAAAGTCAGTGCACCAAATTTAAAACCCTATACTCCCCCCTCCTTGATTTTTAGTGAATGTACACTTCACCTCCAGAAGATTGCCCCCCTTTCGCCTCAAAACATTTGAACCTTGCCAAACCTTGTGCAGTACACATACTCTTCCAGCTTATTCATAGAAGCTAATTGATGGCTATCCTTTATTTGTGCCAATCACATTATTTGAAATATAATTAATTAATTGACAATCTCTTATTTGAAATAAAACTAAATTATTGAAATATAACTAATTGATTGAGATAAAACTAACTGAGATAAATCAATCTCTTATGATGTAACAAGTTCTCATTTTTCTTACTGCTGACGTTGACTAGGAATTGCAGCACATGAATGTGAGGAATACATTTTGATGGGAACTTGGCAGAAGAATACAAGAAAATTACCACCAAGATAAAAAGACTGATATGGTGTGTAAATTGAGCCACCGACCCCAATTAGTTCGGGATAAAGGTGTTGTTGATGTTGATGTTGTGTAAATTGAAGTAGTCCTAATATGGCTAAAGCAATCCCTAAAGCTTGATTCACTTGGTTTAGAACAACTTAGAAGCAATAAGGTTGATCACATTATCTTCATGAAACCAGCAAATGATACTAAAGAAATTTACAAATATAGATGTAAACATCAGACAATAAGATAAAATTTGAGGTAAATAATCTTGGACACAAGCAATACTTTCTTGAGATGGAAATCGTGAGAAAGAAAGGCATTCTGATTTCCTAAAGGAAGTACACTCTTTGTCTGTTGAGGATACAGATAAATTGGAATGCAAACTTGCTAGAACTCCTCTAGACAGAAATCAACATCAACAACACCTTTATCCCAAATTAATTGGGGTCGGTGGTAGATGAACCCAAATAAAAGGTGCGAAAGGATAAAAATAAAAATAAAGATAAATAAAATAATATTAGTATATAAAAATAAAAGGGTTGTAAAAAATAAATAAAAAGAAAAAGAAGAAAGATAGGGCAAAAAAATTTATTTATTGCAATTTAATTAAATAATTACACATTTATTGCAGTTTTGGAAATAATTACGAATCTATTGCACAATGTGACGCTTTTATTGGGCGTCACATGTGACGCCTCATTTAGGCGTCTCTCACCAAGGGAAGACGCCCCAATGGGGCGTCTCTCATGAGGTGTTGACACGTGTCATTTCTCTCTAAAAAAAAAAATAATTTAATCATAAAACTTCTGAAGGCCATAACTTTTGACTTGGGTATCCAATTCAGGTAATTCTTTTTTTGATTCCAAATAACTTTTCGAGATCTACACAATGACATCTCATTTGATATATTTTATTTCTCACAAACATAATTTAAATTTACAAGAATGGTATTATGAGAGCGTTTAAATCCACAAGCCTCTGAGTACTAGATTTGTGATTTAATATAAAAAAATAATCCAATTCAGGTAATTCTTTTTTTGATTCCACATAACTTTTCGAGATCTACGCAATGACATCTCATTTGATATATTTTATTTCTCACAAACATAATTAAATTTACAAGAATGGTATTATGAGAGCGTTTAAATCCACAAGTCTCTGAGTACTAGATTTGTGATTTAATATAAAAAAAATAATCCAATTCAGGTAATTCTTTTTTTGATTCCACATAATTTTTCGAGATCTACGCAATGACATCTCATTTGATATATTTTATTTCTCACAAACATAATTTAAATTTGAAAGAATGGTATTATAAGAGCGTTTAAATCCACAAGCCTCTGAGTACTAGATTTGTGATTTAATATAAAAAAATAAAGATTTAGTTTGTGATTTAAATTTAAAAAAAAATCACATTTTTTAATTTTTAATATAAAAAATAAATAAAGTTTTTGTTTGTGATTTAAATTTAAAAAAATCTAAAAAATTATCATTAATAAGGAAAACAAAATAAAGATTTGATTTGTGACTTAAACTCAAAAATCAATTTGAAAAATCTGTATAATAAAAAAATAATTAAATAAATATTATAAATCTCTAAGTAAGAAGGATTTTATTTTTGGAAACCATTCAGAAGCTATAATTTAAATGGCTTTAAAGAAAAAAGTCATAAAACAGAAGGATGTAATTTATGATACCGTATGATTCAAGATACGAAAAATCAACCAAACGATACACAATACGAATTTCGGTTCAATAACATTGTACACTATTTTTTTTTCAAACACTTGGTTTTGGTGTGTTTGGTGTTGATTCGGAAAGAACTAAGAGACTTTTAGGTTTAAACGCTCGTATAGTACCATTCTTGCAAATTTAAATTATGTTTGTGAGAAATAAAATATATCAAATGAGATGTCATTACGTAGATCTCGAAAAGTTATGTGGAATCAAAAAAAGAATTACCTGAATTGAATACCTGAGTCAAAAGTTATGGCCTTCAGAAGTTTTATGATTAAATTATTATTTTTTTTGGAGAGAGAAATGACACGTGTCAACACCTCATGAGAGACGCCCCATTGGGGCGTCTTCCCTTGGTGAGAGACGCCTAAATGAGGCATCACATGTGACGCCCAAAAAAGGCGTCACATTGTGCAATAGATCTGTAAATACTCCCCAAACTGCAATAAATACGTAATTATTTAATTAAATTACAATAAATAAATTTTTTTGCCAGAAAGATAGGGAAGGGAAAAAGAGATAAAGGAAAAGAAGGGGAAAAGAAGAAGGGGGAAAATGAAGAGGAAAAGGACTAAAATGACCACCAAAAGCTTGAGGACACAGATTGGGAAGGATCGGTGGAAGAAACAAAGTCAACGACTATATTGCACAAAAGTATGGGGAAATGTGGTAACTTAGAAAAGCAAGAAATAAACAGTTGTTGCAACTTGCAAGAAATGGTGGCGAGACAGAATACGGGGCAATTGCTAAAAGAGTTTGTGAACTAATCCGAATAAGTAGGTTACTACAATACTTATCTACTCCTCTTGAAGATCCTATGAAGCTATTGAGTAACAGTTAATCTGCAAGAAGCCCGGTCCAACATGATAGAATGAAGCAGGTAAGGATTTCCAGAATTTTATCAAGACAAATAGAAAATGGGACATTAAGCTTGCATTCAAGTTTGACTTAAATGCTAGCAAGCTGAGAATGATTGATATCTATTCACCAACTTGAGGAATGGAAGAATGTCGGAAGGGAAAATTAATCCCACAGATTGAAGGATTTTAATGAATATCGAATCATTGTTAGTCAACTTCTGATTTAATTTGATTCAGTTATTTCCTTGTTTGTACACTGCAGTTTAGGTTAAAGTTTTTTTGTTGCTGCGACTTCTTCTCTTTGTTCTCACTCCCACCTCTGTTCTGCCGCCTCCACATTCCATTTAATTTTAAATCCTTATTTGATTTTTGAGCATTTAGCATAAATATTTGCACTATAACTACTATTCTATACTAGCCATCCCGCTATCTGCTATAGCATTTTTAGGGTTAGCTGCTCTATGCGCTCTACGCCACAAACCAATACTGACAAATATAATTTCAAAGACTCTGTTTTGTGGGTAATTGCAGAAAAAATGACTCAAGAAAAAGGCTATGTGCTGTATAGGAAATTCTATTTGTTAATTTAATATGAATTTATTTATTTTTTATAAAAAAGCTCGTGCATGACATATCACCTCTCCACTGTCAGTTTTGGGTAAGTCTAATGATTACAGTCTGTCAGTCTTTTTGAATCAATCATGGGGTTAAACATAATGCCATAAGACGAAAACTTCAATTAGGAACAACTAACCTTCCTCATGGAAGTTCAAAAAAAGATTGTGTGGATTATGACTTTGCTTCAAACGTAACAAAGGCTGTCCTGGATGTCTCAGCGTAATCCCATACCTGATCAACTTCGAGCAGTTAGTCAACTACATTAATAATCTAGGAATGACAGGGCAGTAGAAGTAAAAAAGCAGTAGGAAGAGGGGTAAGGCAAATTACGTACCTTTTGCTGTAGTAATCCGCGAAGGTTATGCATTCCTCAGACTTTTCATTGTTTCCATCAAAAGGACTATCAGCACATAGATTAATGTCTACTTCAATAATACAATATATTCTCCCAGTGTGAATGGCCAAAACTACCATATTTTTTAGATTATTAACATCGAGCACACAATTCGCAAAGTGAATCTTGTTTGTGCCTTCACATTCCACCTCTGATGAACTGATATTACAAGGTGATGTGATCTTGCTGTTAGCATCACAATCTCCAGCAACCAACAAAAATTTCCTCCTTAAATATTCAATAGCAGAGGCGCAGGAATTGATTCCACTCCAGTTTATTTGCAAAGATCCCTTACATATATCATTCAATTTTTCAAGTGGTAGAAGCAAATATAAGTTATTTGGGCTCCACAATGATTTTGTGTCTTCCTGAAGCAAAAATTCCCTTTCCCCTCTCGCTGATTTGGACCTAAGAACCAATCTCCCATACAAACCATTGAATATAAGCTCATGGAAGCATTTTGCCTTGATCATCTAGTAGAGAACAGACAACAAAGCGTCAAATTAACTTTCAGAAGAAAATCAGATTAATGCTCTATCCTACTTCAGATCAAGCCTTATTTTTATACCTGTTCAGCATCCAAATCAACTTGCCCACATGCAGAGACTGAAGCCTTCACAGTCTTTGAGATCAAATGAAGATCTAATTTCATATTCCCCACATCATCATCAAGCTTTGACTCAACCAGAAGAACAAATGCAGAGTAAATTTCAGTAACAATATTGCATGTGAAATCCAATCTATAGGCATGAAATTTGGCTCCATCAAATTTGTCTCCCCAAGTACCACATAATGCACGAATGCTGGCTGTGCCATGCAACTCCTTTCTTTTTGTTGTTCCTTCAAATGCCAAAAGCAAAGCAAAACCAAAATGTATCAGCACAAGTAACCAAATACTTTGGATGATGTAAACAAACCTTTGCAGGTCCCTATAAAAAAATATATGTAAGCTGGAATAAAAGCAACAATCAACACATTTTGAGGTAGGAACCATGAACCTTCAGGTCCGGGTGAAAGGTCCTTAAACTTATTGAAACCTAAAAAACATGTCCTTCTAAGTTTTTAATAGTCTCTCATTTGTCCAAGTTATTTTTTAAAAGAATTAAAAAAAGAAAAGTTTGAGACAAATGAAAGACTATCTATGTATTAATGAACCCATAGAAGTCATGTGATGAAAGATTTTAGATTTTGTGCATGTTTGGGAATGCTTAATTATCATGGATAACAGCCTTTTTTCATCTTAAAAGCTGCGCTTTCACTTGCTGGCTAAACGGTTGGGTAATATTATGATGAATAGTAAGGTTTATTATCAATGGTTATGTGGCATATTGCATAGTTAGTTCAGATCCGTTGTATCAGTTACATACGGTTGTAACTGATTATCTGATTGTATGGCTATGAACTTGTAGGTCGAGCACTGTAGTCATCTTCTATATATATCAGATCTGAAGTTTAGATCTTGTAGATATACAGTTACAGTTCAAAAGTCTTCCGTTTTATCTCAGATTCTCTTACTTTCTCTCATTTTCTTTTAGCTGTTGTTCAAATCTTTAAGGTAGAAAGACAAAAAGGATGACTCTTTTTTTTTGGTAAAAAAAAGCTTTTTGATTTTTGATTATTTCACAACTTTACACAAAAATACTTTTTCAACCTCCAACAAATAATACTTTAATCCATTTCGTAGTTTTGGTAATTTACAACATAAGAAATTTATTATACAATCCGAAACAAAACATATATTGAAATTGATTTTCAGCAAATATATCCATCCAAACATGAAACTGATTGGATTTTTAAGAAAATCAATTATACATATAATCGATTACCAAATAATCTTCTGCTCACAGCTAATCCAAACACACAATAAATGGTGGACAAAAAAGTCTGTCACATTTTAGAAAGTTCATAGTGGTTATTTCAAAATAATGTAAAGTTTAGGGGTGCTTTACATTTTTTCAAATAAATAATTATATCATCCATTTTGCTTCATTATACAAGCATTTCTTGCAGCATCCTGTCTACTTCTAAGCCATCAAAGAAAGATGCCACATAACCAGTAATTCCTGTTGTCACCTCATTGTTAAATTTTGTGCAGTAGTGCATACGGTGGCAAAAAGGACAAAAAACTATCTTTAAAAAAACTTTCAAGGGATATTTGGAATATGCAATACAGTTTGGGATGTCTAAGGCCTGAGCAATATAATACATTGGTCTTTTTGAAAATTTTATATCAGATGTAATTGCAAATTTCAAATTAAAAGAAATATTTCAGCACAATTTATAACCAAAGATAACAAATTAATCAGCAAAACAACTATACCTGCACCTGAATTCAGTTCTTTGTTTTCCACAATATGGTCAGCTTCTGAAGGATCTTCAATGAAAGGCACAAGATGATCATTCAAGGCGCCCATTTGATGCAGCTTCTTACAAGCTTCTAAACATACAAGATGCTTTGCCAAACGAACATCTTTTCCTGAAGGACCAACCATTGTGTGGAAAGCTGCATTAGGTGGTAATATTATTTTACTCTTGTAACCCCCCTCCATAGGCAGAAACTCAAAAGTCGGCTTTGCACAGAAGTACCTGAGTGATATAATACAATTCAAATTACATGCACAAGTTGTTTGCAAACACTATGCTTCAAGTAGTTAAAAAAGCAGACAAGCACAACAGGATATACTCTTACTTATCTCGTGGGAGTTTTCCACAATATCGATTTATAAGACTGACACTAGAATCTAGAGTGACTGATGCTCCAGTAGAATCCACATAGTATGCATTTGTTTTCCATACTGTGCACGGCTGTAAACTAGATTCATGGTCTTTATTAATAGCTGCATTAGTCATGCTGCGCTCACTCCGGATGATGTCAAAGAGTTGACTTCTTTGCTTCAAGTTTCCCCTATAGATATAAGTGTTAATAATAATATATTATATGTTTCAGAATATACACTGGGAAAGTTTTCAGGGGAAAAAAAGAAATCTCCAACATCAACAGGTTCTATATTGGTCAAAAGACTGATAAACAAACACATAAATGTCACGAACTAACTTATTATCAGAATACTCACCTCTCCAACATCACAATAAACTGGGAGTTAGCCTGCCTAGATCTTCCCCGAGATTGGACATAACTACAAACTGTCTTGGGGAGGTCAAAACGTATCACACAAGAGCAGTTTGACACATGAATTCCTTCTTCAAGTACATCAGTAGTAAATAATAGATTAACCTAAATAAAAAGGGTTAATAATCTATTCTATGATTTTCAATACCAAAATCTAAGATAATTTTATTGTACATCAACTAGTCATTATCATGACTTGATTTATATTATACAATGAACAAATACCTTTCCAGAGCGGAAAGAATCCAATATTTCCTTTTGCCTCTTTGGAGCCAGTGCATCAACCGATGTGTTGTTTCCAGTTAAATAGGAAACAGTGAAATGAGATAGCTGGGAAACCTTTTTTACAAATCTTTCGATCACCTTAGCTGTAATGATTCTTTCAACAAAAATGAGGCACAACACCTGACGAGATTCTCTGCAAAAGCAAAGAATGATAGATACTCAATTCATTATGATACATAATACAACTTTTTATTGCAAAAGAAAACTATTTATATGACCAGTATAGTAGATTCATAGTTCCATACCCAAACAACTGGAAGAGTTGAATAAGTTCTAGCAATTTTGGAGATATGTATCCCAAGTCAACTGCCTTTGAATAATCAAATTCAACCTCCAAAATATTTTTACCAGCTGCGGCAATAATAGTTAAAAATTAGCTGCAGAGATTATGGCTGAGTGCAATGGACAAACAAATTCAAAATAGGCATTTAGCATTGTTGGAAATATTCAAGTGTGACCAGTGATGAAGTCCCATATTAGTTAGACATAAATCACGTGAGGAACAAGTAAGTGAGAAAGACCCATATATCTACAACCTTAAGGTTTTAGGTTAGGATGTGATATCAACCCACTGATTGTGGTTTGTCATTTGGCCCATTAGTGGATATATCCCATGCAAAGGGTTTTGGGTTCCCCTATTAACATTCCTAACAATGGTATCAGAGCCAATGGATGGGCTGGGCCTAGTATTTGGAGAGGGGCCTCTGCAGAATGCTAGTGTGACTCCAATATTTGAAGATAGAAGACTTCCGCAGAAGTTTCCCTTAAGGGGAGCATGATGTTGGGCTTCTCACTTTAGGGGAGGGTGTAGGGAATATTCAAGTGTGAGTAGCGATGAAGTCCCACATTGATTAGACATAGACCACATGAAAACCATATAAGTACAAAAGACATATAGACCTACAGTCTTAAGGTTTTGGTTAAGATGTAATGTCAACTCACTTATTGTGGTTTGTCATTTGGCCCATTAGTGGATGCATCCCATGCATAGGGTTTTAGGCTCCCCGTACCATGCTAACAAGCATAGTCTCATTTATCCAAAAGTTGTCTAAAAAAACATGCTACTCTAATGTTTTGGTTAATTATGAACTAAATAAGAAACCAATAAACTATATAAAGGAGGATTTATTTATGAATACAGTTTGGCATTAGATCAAATCAATTGTCACGTAAAAAGCAGAATGGACAAATGGAAAATGTGCAAAATTGACCTATAAAAAGAAAACCAACCATTCTAAAACACAGAAATGTGACTACAACTTATTATTGATATAAAGTATTGCTAAATATTAAAGGGTCCGTTTGGTGGTCAGAATAGTGAGGACGGGATAGGATAGGCTATCATATTATGCTTTTATCCATTGTTTGGTGAACCAACAAGATATGATAAGCTTGTCCCTCTGACTCATTTTATCCTGTCCGCAATACGATAAGCTATCCTAAAGGGGGACTCGGGTTAGAAATGAATATGATAGCAAATGTCACATCTCTGACATCTCAAATAAAGCCCTATGCTTTTCTCCAACAAACTTTGTTGGGCACGTGAGTGTTAGCCACTGTCGCCAACCACCCACCGCCACCGCCAGCGACTGCCATCGGCTACCACTATCCATCAGTCAGCCACCATCATTATCATCAGCTATGACCACCCCCAACCACCACTAGCCACCACCATCAATCAACCCCCACAATTGCCATCAGTCACCGCCACCATCACCACCACCACTTTCACCGACTTGTCACCAACGCACTAACCACTACCATTTGTTGTTATCGCCATATGCCACTGCCATCATCACCAACCAGTCACCACCATTAGTGAACCACCACAATTGCTACCAGTCACAGTCGATGCCAACACCACCCACCACCATTGTTGTCGTCATTGACCACCTTCACCACCACCTTGAGCCACCGCAACCCCTAATCACCAGGCATTAGGCACCACCATCATCGCCGCCAGCCCGCCGCCACAATTGTCACCAATCATCGTCGGTGCCGCCACCACCACCAATTCCACTAGCCACCCACAACTACTAGGCACTAACTATCACCGCCATCATTAACCACAGTTGTCGTCCCCATTAGTCAAACACCACAATTGTCATCAGCCATTACCAGCGCCACACCCACTGGTCTTCAACCACCAATATTGACAATAAATTTAAAACAATTTTTAAAATTTGTTGAGGATATAATTTTTGATTTTAAAATTTTTTGTAAGTTACTTATGTATTTTAATATATTTTAGAGTAAATACCCTTTTGGGTCCCGAACAAAAAATACGGCTCCCACTTTAGTCCCTTACAAAAAAATATTAGTCGATTGGTTCCTATGAAATTCAAAGTGGGCCCATTTTAGCCCTTTCGAGGGACTAATATGGGTCTTTTTTGAATTTGTGAGGGACCACGATTTCATCTAAATTGGTCCACTTTGAATTTCTTAGGGACCTCGAGACTAATTTTTTTTTATAAGGGACTAAAGTGGGAACTATGTTTTTTTTAAGGACCAAAAAGGGTGTTTACTCAATATTTTATTTCAAATCATGACATCTAAATTTATTTAATATTTTAAAATAAGAATTAATGCGTAAATAAGTAAAAAGAAAAAGCTTAAAAAGCAATTTTAAAAAATTATATGAAATTCTATTAAAAAGGATATTTTTGTCTATTTATATGATATCTTGAAACCGTATGGTATGCATCAAACACCAGATATCAATGTTGTTAAAAGGTAGAGTCTACGTAGAAACAATAGGGGTAAGCAGAAACGTAAAATCGTAAAATGTAAACGAAACATAAGAGTTTAGTATGTATCAAAAAAAAAAATATCCAACATAAATAAAACCAAAACACACTATGTATCATAAAAAAAATACACCAACATGTTTATTTATAAGAATGTCAATTTTAATCATTGTTTTAGTTTATATAGAATTATTTTAATGTATTAATTATATGAGTTATTAAATTTAATAGATAATGATTAAGAATATACACAAAATTTGTTATTATTACGTTATATATATATATATATATATATATATATATTACTTTTGAACTATGCAAAAAAAAAATCATATTATATATATTTTTATATTATTCATGGATTTATTAATTACTTAACTAGCTTGATTAAAACCAGATAAAATTACATTAGCAACAAAACTTTTTCTAACAAGAAAATTAGAATTTGAGATCAACCATTAAACTCGAATAATTTCTTACTAGTAGATCTACTTTATCTTTCTATAGTGTAACAAGCTGATAAATAGTTAAAGCATTGATTTACCGAGATGATAAATAATATAAAAAAAGAGAGGGAGGGAATAGCTTAAGGTGAAACATGTGTTCTTCTTTGTTCCATTTTATTAACACTAACATTACTTTCTTCTTCATCGCTCTTCTCTCTCTTTCTCTTTCTTTCTTTGACCCTTCTTCTCTTGTGTTTTGGTTAGGGTTGGAGTAACAACCAACAATGGCAAAGGTGTTGGCAATGAAACTCTTCTTCTCCTTCTTCATCGCCTTCGCTTCTCTCTCTCCCTTCCTCGTCAGATCTGACTCTTCAGATCACCTTAGCAATGGTTATCTTTTTATATATAAAAATTTCAATGTAAAGCAGCCAAACGCATGAACAGAATATGGCTTTCTTCAATACCCTCCATTTCTTTTTTTTATTTCTTTTTTTTCAGTACTAAGTCAACTCGGTAAACTCGTCAAGTCAATCGAGTTTACCGAGTCAACTAGGCATTTCAACCATTTCTACACAGATTTCGTTCCTACCATCGTTCCAACACGATTTTGGACCCAAAAACATAGAAACAGACGTTTCTATATTTGGAAACAACGTTTTAGCAACACTGCTAGGTATGATAACATTATCCTCTCAAACTGTTTATCCAGTGCAAATCAAACACAGGATAAGATATGAGCTTATCAAACCAAGATTCTTTCCTACTCTTATCAAGCCCTTTTATCCTATCCATTTCTATCTTATCCAGTCCACCAAAAGATCAATATAAAATCTAGCCATATATTATGACAAAAAGAATTCGTAAGAATTTCTTAATATACTAGCGTCAGATAAAAAATAAAAACACACACACACACAGGTTGCCTGTATTAGACATAAATACTTGCAATCTCAAGTAAGTATGAAGATTAAGAAAGACCAAAAGCCCAAATAGAAAAATAAATAGATTCTAGTTCAATCAAAAAGCATACCAACATGGAGAGATTCTTCAATTATTTGGATTACTTCTTCAATGACAGTTTTACACTGAAGATAACCGTTTCTGTAAAGTTCACAATCTCCTTCAATTTTGGAGAAATTTTCATGACAGATTTTAACAGCCTGCATAAACATAGACAGTTTTTAGTAAATATAAGAAACAAATGACAAAACTACAACCAAAAAAATCTGGAGGCTTATCAATTTTTTCATGACAGTTTTACACTGAAGACTAGCTGCACAAAATCAGTGATAAAACTAAAAAAAGTCTTAAGAGCCAAAACTTTAAGTGGGTTGCAGTTGATATTTTTCATTCAATTTATAACCCCAATTTAAAACAGAAACATTTTTATGAATTTTGCTTAATTTATAAAATATTTTATTTTTTGCAATAACCCTTTATTAAGAATATCAGAAGTTATTTGGATTTAAAATTTCATCAGAAATTTAAAAAAAAATAGAAAAAGAACTTTCCTTTTTTATATGGCACAACTTTTTTCCTACAATGTGAGTTTGATAAATACCTCATAAGCACATAGCAGTCCAAGATCTTCGAGGCAATATAAAATTTTAGCAAGTTCATTGGTCATCCGCTGATGTAGCGTCTTAAATTTATTGTCCACATCCTTATAGTTACTTTGAAATTCAGACAATACATCAGACTGTCCAAACAGATTAACTTCGGTCAGTATCCTTTATTGTACAAAGATAATGAGTACAAAAAGGGGAAAAAGGAGCAGTGTATTTTGTAATAGCCATATACAAGCAACACGACCAAGAAATACCTTGGACCACAAGGATTCAATCTTTGGCTTCAAACTCAAAGCAGGAAATCGTGCTGGGTCATAAAATCTACAACTCTCTTTTGCAGAAGAGATACACACATCCATCTCTGTCCGATCTTCGATAGTATATCTCTACAGAAACAAAATCACTTACCTTATTTTTTTATGTATAAACATATTTTCACATGTGAGGATGACCCTTGGAACAACAGTAAGGTTGTTCCTTGGGACCTGAAAGTCACGGATTTGAGTTTGAGAAACAGCCTATTTGCAAAAATGCAAGGGTAAGGATGTGTACAATCGACTCTCATCCCTACCCTCGCAAGTCGGGGAGCCTTGTGCACCGGGGTTTTCTCCTTTAAACATATTATCACATGTGCACTCATGGAAAATTTAATTTGAGTCAATATGAAGAAATTATGTTACCTGAGAATCCAAGATATTTTCAAGTTCTGATATCTGACCCTCGCAGTCCATAGTAGAGGAAACACCTAATTCATGTCATAATACATAAATAATATGCATAGTTAAGTCTTTATATTCACACCCTGGACTCCGCATGACAGTGGCAATATGAACAATACAGAATATTAATCCTTTGAGTAAGAGAGGAAGAAATCATTATGAAACAAATTATCAGGTTGCCCCCAATAACTCAAATGTATGTTAGAAGAAGTAATTAGAATATGGGCCATGTAACTGAATTAGAAGGGGTCCTTGTGGATTGTTGATAGTTGAGAACATCTTTGTAACTGTTGTAATCATTGTAACTGAATAGAAGTGTTCTAGTAGTCCGGTTAGGGAAAAAATAAATAGGAAAGGATTGACAGGTTGATTAGGGTTTGATTTGGGCGTTACTCATAAGAGAAGAGAAGAGGGCCAGAAAAATCTCTGATAGTTTCGACAATTACCCTGTATTATCCTTTGTAATTCGTCCATCCCTTCTGCAAGCAAGAATCTCTTGCTATCCAGAAGAATAATTCAATAGAATCAAATCCTTCTCAACCATTTTTATTGTTAATTTCGGGCAAGTATCTAACACAATGTTAAATTTTTTTACACAGAATAGTTTCATCAGGAGGCAGGGCACAGCAAATCATGGGATAAATATACTGACTTGTTGTTTAAAATTACTTCAAAAATACAATTGCTGAAAAGCTTCAATATGAACAGAAACTCGAATTGATAGTTGAATTTGGAGCAGATGGCAAAAACTGTCAGATTTCAACTTAAATATATGCATTAAAATCATATCTGTCAATTGGAAGGCCTTTTAATGAATCGGGATCATATCATAACATAATATTTGGTAACGAGATGATAAATAACTTTTAAAAAAATACTGTAAAAGACGTGCATATAAATGTCACCCAAAAAAAAAAGAAAAAAAGCAATCAAAGTATTCATTTCGAATTAAACCTAACAAGATTGATATCACATGGATCAAAATGGGGAAGATACTTTACTTTGTTGAGGACTTATCAATCTCAAATAGTGTTGTGTAATGGCAGACCCCAAAAACGCTATAATGGAACAATGGGTAACAGTATGACAGCTATGGTGAAATCCAAACCAGACGAGAAAGTAGAGGTGGGCTCCTCAAAAAACCGCAAAATGACTCCAAAACACACAAGAAAATTTAAAGCAAACTAAAGAAGTGTGTTGGGCTTGCCAGAAAACTGACTGGGAGTGATGGAATTCCAAGAAAAGACTAGAGAGAGCTCAACAAGGTTTGATAGGGTCGTAACATACAAGGGAAAAAATGGGAGCGAGGGTTGAAACTTGAAAGTCAATTTTGCCCCTTTAAATTGTGCATGCAACACTGCACACATAGAGACAAAGAGGGGATTTACCCTTCCTTCACCATAGCAAAGCGATTTGCCACAATTTTTATAATAAATATCAACTGGCGTTCGAAATCCCAATGGGCCGACTAATCCGGTTAGCATTGTGGGGCGAAAATCTCAAGGGGGGACGCTATGTGATAGCCGCACAATTGATAACCAAGTTTGTAGACAATGGGAACTTTCTTCCATAGAAAGCTTACGAACTGAAGAAGAAATTCTCCCTAAACAAAAGTTCCAACACAAAAGCGGAAGCCTTAATTTTTCATAGAAACAGCGCAAAGGTGAGGCAGATTGAATTGGTTTTTTCTCGTAAAGTATCTTTCGATTCTATCTGGATGATTATTAAAATATTTTAAAAAAAAAAAAAAAAAAAAACAAAAATTATAGATTTTCAGCAGTCAAGTCACGCAGCAAAAAACATACACAGATAAACAATGGGCTTGGTGGGCTAATAAGATTCATTTTTTCCATCAGGCAATTCAACTCTATCAACCAGCATATATGAGGTACTTCAGATGCACCTTCAATTTAGAAACCCACATCTGCTCATCTCAACTGAGGCTATATTTATGAAAAGGTAAAAAAAATTGGTGACATTGTCCCCATGTCACGAATTGAAAGATGGAACACAACCCACTTCAGGGACACAAGTTGAATGAAATGAAAAAAGTACTAACTCTTAAGCAGTTTCAGAAGATTATTCTACTTCAAATCTAGTTAATTTTTTTTCTCTGTTATGGCAGAGTAGATAAAGTTTTCTTCACTAAACTAGATTTGCCTTGTTTCTTAAGTGTGTTTTTCTTTTTCTTTTCTTTTTTCAGTGAGAGAAAAAAGAAAGAGACTCAGATTTATACAGGACACCGTTTTGATGAATAACAATGATTATTTGAAATAAGAATGAAGATTGAGCAAATCTAAGTGCAAAAGAAATACAAAAGAAGAACCCTCTATGTGGGGGATAACACCAGGGGCATGGAAAGCATTTAAAATCTTTGTTAGCATATAAAAAAAGAAGAATCCATGGTTCTATGTCAAAGTTAGCATATAAAAAATTACCTTTTTTACCTACCGGTGACGCTGTCATCCCAAAAATCTTTGGCTTTTCATTAGCTTGGTGATAAAATTCCTTTACCAGCAGAAGACAATAATCATTGTAAATATATTATCTAACCCAAATAATTAATGGACATGAAACAAGAAATCATGTATGATCAAGGAAAATACAAAAAAAAAAAAAAATGTTTTCGAGCAGTCACCTTCATTATTTTTGCATATGGATGGTTGCCAGTTGCTCTATGACATTCATCAATAATCATCAAGGATATCATTTCTATACTCAGGAATGCTTTTCTTAAGGCATCCAATAGAATCTGGGGCGTCATAACCAGTACCTATAAGAAGACATAAGGACATCATTATTCAAATAACCAAAGAGCTAAGTCAAGAATATTGATGAGTTTATCTGCATAATTTATGGAATCAATTGTTAGTATACCATGCTTTTGAGATTTGAGATTCACTTCAAAGCCAAAAATGATATTCTTCAGAGGCGATAATAATTTAGTGATGTTTGTTAATACTTAATAATTAACATAAGAAAATTTAAATATAATAATATAAAATCTGAAATATTCAACACAAAGGGGGAGCCTGAATACTTTCTGCATTGACTTTTTCCATTCATGATCCCAATTATTTTATTAAATAACAATAATTTCCCTAAATAAGCTATCATCTATTTAGCATCTTTTAATACAACCCAGCACTAAAAATTAGAGTCATTTTAAATGTCACAAATTCAATACTAATAATCTTCTCAGTAAGAACCATTAAAAATTTCACAGACTTTTTCAAATTAAATCACACATTAAATGAAAATTGTGAATTAAAAACTGGTGGAAGCATAAATCTCAGACAACCCAGTATAGTACTCCTTTATCAAGTCAATGTTGAGCAAGGATGGACGGCCATGGAGGTAGTGGCAAAGAAAATGCCACAAGTTCTTAATTGGGTAATTTCTCATGTCCCATGATTAATGAATGAAAATATGTAAGCAATATAATAATAGAATAAATTCACTCTAAGATCTTAAGCTAAAACCCATCAGGCCCAGAACCATACTACACAAATCAATGAAAATAAAATCAACCACAACTGAAGGAAAACTAAAGTAACTTTGTGACGATCATATTAGCAGGTAAATAAACAAGCATACATCATTGTCAATAATCTCCTTTTCCCAGGTCTTTAAATTCCATGTATCGACTCCTTTAGCCCCATAGTATTCCTCAACTTGAAAATCTGTAAGATATTTTATAATGTTGAATTGCTGCAAAAGAATACACAAACACCAGTTAATTTAACCTGTGACTGAATAAACTATACAATTTATTATGCAAGAAGAGCAACATTTCACCAACCACACTTGAGAAATTAAATGTGGAATATACTGAAGTTTAGGGTGGGGGGACTAAAAGGAAGCAAAAACAGAAAAGGAAAAACTTTAGGGTACATGCCTGATTGACAAGATGAACGGTGGGAGCTAGGAAAATAATCAACTTTTTTACGCCACTAGACTTGATACCTTGACCAATGTCTTTTATTAGCATTATAGCTATCAAGGTCTTACCGGAGCCTGTATCCAACACTGCTATTGTGTTTCTCCTCCTTGCAACTTCAAACACCTCCAACTGATACCTATGGAGAAAACCCAAAACACATGAATACGCAAATATGCAAAATTACCCTCGTGAAAGGGATGCGAAAGACTCAATCTTTGCGATCATTCCGCCCAAAATCCAACACATAAAACACCAAAAGGGTAAATGCAGGCGTTCATATTGCAACATTGCCCACATCAAACACCGAAACTCAAAAAGAGTGGGCAAACAAATAAAATTGAAATTAAAAAAAATACAAAATTTATGAACTGCCTGCCCAAGAAACACAAAGAAGAGTAAAGGAGGAACCTTCTAGGGTCAATGTTCTGGGGTGTGTCGGAAGACGTCAATTCTTGATATGGAGAATCCTCGGCGTAGGGTTTTGAGCATAAGTCATCGTAGGATCGCTTGAGACAGTTACTATTTTTCTGGTTGTGGTTCGATGAGTCCATGTTGAAATTCTAAACAACAATTATGCAGATTTTTTTAGCTACTGTTACAACCAATCGAACCCACATAACACGATCAGCAGTCGTAGGTTGCGACACGGATTGAGTTTAACCTACCGAAGTTCGGGTTAAGAGAGAGAGAGAGAGGACTGAAACTAGTCAAATTAGTTTCAACCTCAGTCAACAATAAGTCTCATCCAAGGATATAGCCTGTTTTTTTAATAGTTTTTTTTAGGTTGAGACTTTTTTATTTGATTATATATAATAGGCCGAATCTAATATGACGTAGACCGAGCTATTTGTAACCTGATTCATTTACACGCCTAGACCCAAATGTACTGTTAATTTAATTTTTAAAATTTTGTATTATCAATTAGGTATGTTATATAAAATTTAAAATCTTCACCTTTAGAATTTTAAAGTTTTTTGTCTTCAGGCTCAGAATTTCTAGCATTTGCCAAGATAATTAATACTGATCTTGTGACATTCAAGACGACTGTAATTTTTAGTTTTGGGGTTTATTAAAAGATGCTAAATAGATGATGACTTATTTAGGGAAACTTTTGCTATTTAATAAAATAAATGGGATACATCAAAGGAAAAAAAATCAATGTAGAAAGAATTCAAAAAAAATCAGCTTATTATATTTAAATTTTTTTATGTTAATTATTAAGAATTAACTAACATCACTAAATTATTTGGTTTTGAAATGAGTTTTTAAATAGCCTTTGCGTGAATCTCAAATCTCGATATTATGCTATAATAACAATTGATTCCATATGTAAATAATTTTGAGGTCATCATCCCAAAAGCTAGTTTTAAGGGTGAGAGTACCCAAGGCCTTATAAATGCCACATTAGTTGCACATACAACCAATGTGAGACTATGACTTGAAGAGTGAAAGATGCAACAGGTCCAGCCTACCTGTGTTAAGAAACTCCACAAGAGAAAGTGGAGGGCGGCGAGGCTCTGATACCATGTAAAGAATCTTGGGATACATCACCTTAAAAACTAGCTCAAAGAGTGGGAGTGTCCAAGGCCTTATAAACTCCACATTAGTTGCTTATACAATCAATGTGGGACTATATATCTCAACACCATAAATTATGCTGATAAACTAATGAATATTCTTGACTTAGCTCGTTGCTTATTTAAATAATGACATCTTCATGTCTCATAGGTACTGATTATGACGTCCAAGATTCAATTGGACGTCTTAAGAAAAGCATTCCTAACTTCTGAGTACACAAATTTTTGGAAATCGATAATCACACAAATTTCAAACGAAAAAAGAAAGAATAGATACAGAGATTTATTTGGTTCATTCAATTTAGGCTATGTTCAATTTGTCTGTATTATATTCATCTCGTTACTAATCACTCGATTCATAAAAAATAATATAAATAAGATTAGAAAAATTTAACCGCATATAAAATATGAGTCATACCCAATAAAAATGATATGCTTGATGATTATTGATGAATGTGAGCAACCGGCAACCATCCCTACGCAAAAGTAATGATGAGTGATACAAAACATTCTTTCCTTTCTTTAATTGTATCCTCTGATAACATTGATTTTCTTGATGTTGACTCAAATTGATTTTTCCATGAGTAGTGCACATCTGAAAATATGTTTATGCCAAAAAAAAGATTCAAATTGATTTTCTTGATGGTGATACAAAAAAAAGCGCTCCCGTGAGTTCGATGGTGTCATACGAGTTCTTGTGAATTGCACACGTACTTAACGCATAACTAGATATGTGTGAAAAACCATTTGAAAGAGAGAACTTGAACCGAACAAATGAGTTTCAACCCTATATCGGAGGATAGTGGGTAAAGCACACACAAGTTATTTTCCTTGATGCATAGGTTTTGTTCTTTATTTTTAAAGTTTCATACGCCTCATTTGGTGGTTAAGATAGAGAGAACAAGATAGGATAGAGTATCATATCTTGCTTTTATTTATTGTTTGGTGAACCAACATAATATGCTAAGTAATCTAAGTTTATCCGATTGGCTCATTTTATTCTATCCACAACAGAATAAGCTATCCTAAAAGGGACTTGAGTTAGGAATAGACAAGATAGGATAACAAATATCACATCTCTTTATCCCAAATATAACTCAATGCTCTTCTCCTACGAACTTTGTTGTGCACGTAAGGGTAAGCTCTTGCACTGACCAGCCACCACTAGGGGTGTTCGCGGTCTGGATTGAATCGATTTTGAAGCAAAAATTATTTGATCTAATCCATTCGCTTTGATCATTTAATCATCCATTTGGTTTGAATTTTTTTTTCAAATTTATTCCAATTTAATTGGTTTGGATCGAATCGATTTTTGATTTTTCGAAAAATTCCAGCCATACAAATCACAACCTATATCAAAATGAAACCATACAAAGTTATAAATCAATGGAAAATTCAAGTTTTCAACCTAAAACAAGTCTTAAAACTCATGAAGAGTTAAAATAGAGTAACAGACTACGAAGCACTGACACACGTTCTTTTACTAGAAAAATGCATGTCGGACCGTTACGACACATGTCTGACACGCGGTCAATATTTTGGAATAGATTGACCATCTTAACACGCGATTTTGACCATGTCGGACACAGTCGTGGTGTTTTGGATATTTTGGGTTTTGAGGCGCCGGCGAAGGAGGTTGAACGGAGTGGTCGATGACGAACGTTCATTTACCAATGAAAACTTATGGAACAAAATCAGATACAAAAAATAGAAGCAGATTCAGATGAAAATGGAAGTAGATCCGATATAAAAAATGAACCCAACAAAAATGGAAGCAGATGGAGATGACCCATTTCATAAGAGTTAAAAAAGATGAAGCAGAAAGGGAGACAAGAAAGGGGTATGTGAAAAGGAGGACAACACGCATATTTCCAAAAAAGAAAAAAAGGACAAACGTGCACGCAAGTTGTCATACATAAGTAATATGTAATATATAATAATGCAATAGTAAAAGAAAAAATGTGTATCATTTTAAAGTATGTAAAGTTGTGTCATTTTAAGTGAGAGAAAGAGATAGATAAAGAAGGAAAGAGGGTTGACAAAAAATATAAAGGTGTGGGTCCCACATCTTTGTGAGAGTAAAATGACATAAGTTATGTCATTTTAAAGGACAAACACTTTTCCTATAGTAAAATGGATCAGAACAAGAAATGATGCGTGACAATGTTAATGAGAAAAGGGAAAACTAGAAATAAATTAAATAATAAAATAGAGTTATAATTAAATAATAAAAGTAACACTATACTTTTACATTGATGGGTATTACTAACATTAAATATAATATTACTATATAAATTAAAAATATTATTTAATATCAAAACATGTCCTAACGAGATGAAATTTAACATTTTTTAGAATTAACGTGTCGTATGTCGTATCTCTTGTCCCGTGTCGGAGTCGGTGCAACAGAGGTATTAGATAATAAAAAAATTAAAACAAGGTAGTTTACTATCAATAACATCCAAGATTTCAAGTCTACAAAACAACAAGATTTCAAGTCACCATCTTTCTCTTTCATACTTCACTCTTTCAACTTGCTGAATGCTCACTCTATGATCTTCAAAACAACTAGCAAAACAGCACTGGCAAGCCACATATAGCGTGGGTGTGATTTCGGCCCGGGCTAAATTTTTACAAATTATACTTATTATATATAATTATATAATGAATTAGAATTTGACCCGGATTAAAATTGTAATTTGGCTCAGGCTACAATTTATAATTTGGCCCTATGTAAAACTTAAAATATTTTTTGGTTAAAGATTTGGCTAAGTTGTATTAGGTTATGTGTCTAATTTTCACTTGTATAAAAAAATTATTTTTAGTAAAATTAAAAATATTTAATAAAATTATAACTCTTCTTAATACTGCTTGCTCATGTGTTCTGCATTTAATATAATTTAAATATATTATGATATGAACTAACTAAAATTAAGAAAAATAAATACACGCATAATTTTTGGCCCGGGCTCAAATTGGAGCCCGGCTCCGCCACTACAAAACAACAACTTTCATGAAAATAAGAGATTAAGAGAGGGTTCAAGCAACAATAAATTTAAAATAAATACATTATTAGGAAAAAGGGCATTAGAGAAATTTAAAAAATAATAAATACATAATAGATTGGTTCGGTTTAGATGATCGATTTTCACCAACCAAACGGGAAACCGATCAAATCCAATTAAAATAAATATATGGATTTTTTTCGGTTTTTTATTTTTCGGTTTGGTTATCGCTGTTTGAATCGGTTGAGATCGGTTGATGAACACTAGTAGCCTCTATTACTGTCACCGCCAGCCATCGACCACCTCTACCATCGCTATCATCCATCAATCAGTCACCACCATCGCCACTGGTCATCGCCATGAGCTACCAAGCACCACCATTGTGACCAGCTACCACCATCTCTCCCAACCACCTGACACCAACCACCATCGATCAACCCCAAAATTGATATTGTCATCGTCGGCGCTACCCCCATCACTATCACCACTATCAATTAGTCGATTGAGCTATAAGCTCCTTACTAATATAGGTTGATTGTTTTGAATTATATTTTATATTTCGTTCCAAGTATATTTAGAGCTTGTTTGACACCTCTCTTTTTTAAGCTAAAAGCTACTTTTAAGCTAAAGTTAAAAAAAAAAAGCTTTTAAAAAGAAGCTAAAAGCTATTTGATGATTATAAAAATTTTAGTTTAAAAGTTACTTAAAAGCTATTCACTTCAAAAAAAATGATACAACTTAAGAAAAACTCATACTATGAGCTATTGTAATGTCGAAGTAGTAACTCATTGACTAAACAGAAAGAAAGAACGAACACAAGAATTGCGAGAGAATACTATTTCTCTTTTCTAAATTTTGTTAACCAAAAACAACCAACTAACAGTAGGGTTCTTCGAGCCTTAAAAGGCAAAATAAAATAAAATCAAACAAAATCAAAATGAATCATGCACAATTAAAGGAAATAGCAAAATCTATGCACACTGAAACATAATCTAAGAAATAACAAAAAAGATAAATAACTAATAATTATTAAAAAGCCCTAAACTACTTATGCTTATGGCAAAAGTGATAGGTCTTGCTCAGAAGCTCATTTCGAGTTGTCTATCCAAATTTGAGTTTATCCAAGTCAGTCACCCAGGTGCATCATCCTCCTCTGCCAAAAGAAGATTCGTCCTCGAATCTAATGGGTCTTCATGGTTACTCTCGTAGGGTATGCCTTCCTCACCATCATGATAAAGAGACAAGCCAGCAACATTGAAAGTACTAAAGACATTGTATTCCCCAAGAAATTCAATCTTGTAAGCATTGTTGTTGATCTTCTCGAGCACTCTGAAGGGACCATCAACTCTAGGTAGCTTGTCAATCTTGTTAGCGGAAAATGTTCCTTCCTAATGTGGATCTACATCATATCGCCTTCCTTGAAAACGATTGATTCCTGTACATGTCGGCTTGCTGCTTTTAAATATCTAACAATTTTTAAACTATGATAATAAAAATTACAAATATAATAACAAACGTTTATAATTTTATAAATCTACATTTCTGTAACTTTTATCAACCTATTCAACACTTATACCACTTAACATAAAATCCGCAATTCCAAAATAGGAACTGAACATGAGATAAAAACAAATTGGTCCTGATTTCAAAACCAAAACCTAAGGTATCATTTCTAATACATACTTAAAAGTCCAAAAGACTCGTGATCAAACTCACTTTCACTAGGAAGAAATTTATGAAAGAAAGGATTACTTTTAATTGCGTAACCACTCTCGAGGAAAAATGAATTCATGGAAGAATGAAGTTGTTGTACAAAACAGTAGTATCTTTTGTGGCCACAAAGTCGATCTCTGGCAGTGTGTATAGAAAAGGTTTTGTTGAAAAAAGCTTGTATCCATGATCATCTCTCCGTCTCGAGGGAATTAGTCCTTGGCTTTTGGCTTGGGGATACCTTAGAACAATTTCCAAAAAAAAAAACCATTCACTTATACTCTCCCTTCCTTTTCCTTTCTTTGCCATGGGATGGACTCTAAAAGGAAGAAAGATTAGGGATCACCAATCTTAAGTTTTCCCAGTCGTTGTAGCTCATAAAGCATTTGAACAGCAGCAGAATCACATGAGCTCTTCTTATCACTTCTAGCTTCTCCTTCACATTCTATATTACCATCATTGGGTATGCATAAAGTAATTTTAGACACAAAACAGTTATGTCCCTTGCTTCTTCCCAGGTCTTCACAGGATTCAAATTGAGTTCTGTTACAAACGATACTCTATCAGATTAATACGTTATAAATTTACCAAATATTCATATTTGGACATCACATCTGTTAAACCACATAACATGACATGCAATATTCAAATAATAATATCATTTAAAAAATATCATTTTTCCATATTAAACCAATAGTAGAAATGCATCATGTGAAGTTGGTGTAAAAAAATTGATTTACGCAACTTTCCCCAAGGAAAAAAGATTCATCATGCTTTCTTTTATTCCCCCTAATTCATATTAGAAACAAGAAAATATGGATATATAATTAGCATTAAAGATGTTCACAGAGAGTATGTGAAATGAATGATTGAAAGTACAAATTGGAGGATTCACCTGTCTTTATATTCAGTTGAATCAAATGCAGGCAATGGCCACTGTAGTCTCTTGCACAGTTCATACAGTGTGGTTCGGGGTCCTCCCTTCTTCATGCTAATTGATTCAATAACTGCATAAAATGAATCCAAAATCAAGTGAGTTTATAGGTAGTCATAAAGTAAACTCCTTGCCCCTGGAATTGAAAAGGACAAGGAATCTACTACTTCTAAAGTCAAGGGTTTAAAATGCCAAAAGAAGACAGGTGGAGAGAACTCTAAGCAATGTCTCGGAACTTGCATCACCCTATAACTATATTCCACAAAGATAAAAATGAACCATGAAAACAAATATGATGATATCTGAATTGGACTTCTACCTACTTAACGACGAGCAATCTATACCTATTTTATTTCCCTCTCTTCTTTCCACATTAAGCTGGAAATAAAAAACATTTGCTTTGAAATTGGAACTAAATCATTTATCAAACTAGCTTCTAACTACATTCTTTGCAGTTTATGGTTAGATTTTATAGATGTTACAGAAGGAGAGCAATCATTAATAAATAATTCAGATGTCTCACAGAACTAAATAACTGATAGTTTTCCATTCTTCACGAAAATTTTAAACACACCAAAAAGTATATGCATTGATCAAATGGGCAAAAGAAAACTGCACATAAGAGGATGCAAATAACGATAGCACTTCAATTTTCAATAATTTCCATAAGTGAAACACAATAGATGTGAATGCATCAGTTGAAGGATAGAGCAGAGGGAGGGACAGAGAAAGATGGGAGTGGAGGAGTAAAACAAGCCATAAAAAGAAGCATAAGAGAAAATTCTCCCACGTTATGTTATTGTGAAGACAAGATTTGCTATCAAAATCAAAACAAAATTGATGGTACAAACCTGGAATGGAAGCATTAAAATCGGAGGCTTCACCAGAAGAGGCTTTGAGAGGCAAAAAACCAGTAGATGCACTTGCAGTTAAGTTAGTTTCATCCAATTTCGACCTTTTATGTACCACTGGCTTTGAGGATTGTCCACCAGTTAGATCAGGGAAAATACCAAAATCCATTTTGAGATAAGATGAATCACAGAGATTGTCAGGATTATCTCTTTTTCTCTTGGACATGCAACTACCATATGAAATTCCCCTCTTCTGTATTATCACAAGTATAACCCAAGTGGTCAAAGAAAAATAGATACTAATAAGGATAGCAGTAGCATGCAATAACAACAAAAATTAACTAATCAACTCTACAAACCAAGTTTCACATAAAAAATCTAAAGCCCTTCCAAGATAATCTTTTTCATTTCAATAGAAGCAGTGCTGGTAAGGTGGACAGCAATAATATGTGAATAATTTTCTGATGGTTCATTTCTGTGTTTAGTGCAAAACTAGACACTAGCCATTTATTTTTATCTCGTTATTCGATATGAAATTCTATCCTGCGGCCTCTTTTTCAGTTAAAGAAGCTAGGCTATACCAAAGTTTGACACTTGGAGGAGATGAAATTAAAAACTAACAAGGGAGAAAGGCAGGCGAAATATTTTAGGGACTTTGTTCTCTTGGTCCATTAGATGTTTTCTTCTGTGAGATTTTAGGCATGATCAATTTTGGGATTTTATTTTTCTCCATCCTATATGTTTAGTTGTGCATGTTTCTATAGTTTATCTAAATATTTACTAGTATTATTAGTTACCTATGATCAGGAACAATTTTGACTAATTTTTCCATAGAAGCATCTATTAGCTTATTCAACAAAAAGAAATATGGCTCAGTGAGTTCTCAAAAATTAACTTAAGTTCTAAGTCTAAAGCTAAGCATGAGATGAATACAAACATTATATGTTAATAAACTCTTCACTGACCCAGATTATGACAACCTGTGTAGATAAAGCAAAGAATATATACTCGTAGATTCTAGAAAACCTTAGGATTGAAGAAGAATTAAAAGCAAATTCCTAGAGACATTGAGAAGAGAACAACAAACCTCAAGTTCCTTCAACAAATGAAAAGCAGCTTCCCCTTTTGCAGTTTTTTTATTTGGCCCCTTTCCCTCTTGAACCAACAGGGCATTTGGCAACTGTACACTAAGCTCAACATGCTCCATGGATCCCTTCTTTTCATTGTATTCTTTTACTTTTACAAAGTACCCGAGCGAGTCACATAATTGATTTAGTTCACGGAATGGAGGCAACTCGAGATTATCAGGAGTAACAATGGGAGATAATAAAGGGTTGAAAGCCTTCCACACTTCGTCTAGATTGAGCTTGGTATCAATTAGTATAGCTCCAGCAATACTTTCTACTAGATCTCCAAGTGCCTGCGTCATTTATAACAAAAATAACAATGATGCAACTTAGAAAAAGAAGTGTTAGGTCTATGTTTGGAATCGCATATTTTAGGAATTGATTTTATTTATAAATGAGATTCTTTATTTGTAAAGTTAAAAAATAGTAACTGATTTGATTTTGAAATCCATTTGATTTAAGTTATGTGTATACAGAAATCCACTCAAATTTGGTTAGATTTGAGTAATTTGATTTAAATTTAGTTTTAACTATTTGATAAGAGAAATTCTAATAACAAGGATATAAATAACTCTATATGGTAAAAGAATTAACCATAATAATCACTCTAAGAACTAACCTTGGGAGCTTTGATCCCTGGGAGTGATCTGGTGTTGTTATCTGATTTAGAAATGATCTTCACATATTCTGATATCTGGCTCCGTAATAATTCTGATTTATGCAGAAGGTGCTTGTGAAGCTTTCGTTTAACAGCAACTTGAGCAAAATTTTCATTGTTGACAGAAGCCGATCGCAAGTCAGTTAACTCTCCTGGATCAATATCTGTGTGACTCTGATAAAGATACCAAGTGATAAGCAGGTCCAGTACTGAATCACCAAGAAATTCAAGCCTCTGCCAAGAAATTCAATAAGTTTTGTAGAAGTATAATATTAAGAAACTTTCATATGTTAAATATTTTATAAAGTACAAATGATGAGGAGTTCTTTCGTGAAAGGAATATATAAAACTTCATAGTTACCTCATAACAGCAGCCAATCCGAAGTTCTGTCTCGGACAAATGTGTGATTGCCTCTAGTAAAAGTCCCTTGACAGAAAATTTGTACCCAATTTTCTTTTCAAGTCTTGCAATCTCATTTACTTTTGGCACAAATGTGTGCAGAGATGCAGCAGTGATAGCTTCATCAACCAAGGATGGTTTAAGCTTAGCATCAATCCCTAGCCATTTCATTACATGAAGTGAAGCAATCAGTCCACCACCCACATAGTATGCTCCTATCAAAGCTTCAACACAGTCAGCAATAGTCTTTGAGCACATCCAGCGGTGACCCCTGTCACAGAGACTCCCAACCACAACTTTTGGATCTTCAGTATGGAATTTTACGTCTAAAGGCACTTCTTGGGTTTCCAACCCACAATCACAATGAACAGTGTGTATAGAGCGCTGTCCTGGAGCAACCCAACGGCGTGGTTCAAATGCGGAGTCTCGGATATATCCCTGTTAGATAAAATGGCAACATAATCTGGCATCAATATGGTATGAAATTTTCATCAATTGGTCATGAGTGGCTACACTTAGAGGTGAACTAATTCCTTGACAGTATCGAAAAACAATAATAATAACCATAGTAAAGACTACCTGTAATTTATGATCTGTTCCCAGTTTATGTAAGGTTGCATTACAAACAGCTCGTGATCGTTTGCCAGATAATTCTCCTTCATGTTTCTTGGGATATTTAAGAAAGAGGTGACAACTCACCACATATTTCAAAACAGAATCTCCTAGCAACTCAAGACGTTCCATTGAAAAATTTTCACAACATCTTAAAGTTGTAAGTGCTTCTAGAATCTACGTACATTGATATAAAAGAAAAGATGCATAAGATAATCATGCTGAAAACAGAAATAAAAAGGGTGCATCTTATCCACAAAATCGGATTATATAGGACACACCAGGGAGCTATGTATGTCGAAATTGCTAGTCTGACCATTTATCTCTTCTCTAAGCTGACTGGATAACATGAAAGATTCAATACGGTACATCACAGATGGTAGCAAGTACAGTGACTTCAACACATCACTTTTAACATCAAGAATGCATAGAAGCTCAGGTGGAATGTGAACTTGCGTGGGCACCTTTGGGATTACCTGGCCAATTTGTGATGACTTGTACCCTGCATCTACTCAACACCAAGAAATATCATAATCAAAATTTCATATATACTGCACTTACATTGCCAGCACATTTTCAATTTGTTACAACATAATAAATATATGCAAACTTACTTTGATGTGGTCTTGGAATGTGTATGTACTACACTTTATCTACACCCTAACCACTAACACTGTCACTCTCTACCATTTCATGATCATTATTTGTCTAAATTAAAATTTACCTAACCAAAGTTCAGAAATTTAACATCAATACACCAAGTTTAAAAACCTCCATCCTAACCACTAACACTGTCACTGTCATCAACTTCATGATCATTATTTGTGTAACCTGTAAATTACAAGTTACCTAACCTAATTCTGAAATTCAACATCAAGCACAAAGTTTAAAACCCTGCACTTTCCCTCCATGAGTTTTAGTGAATTTCACTTCACCTCCTTAAGATTCTAAAAAACTCACGCTCGTCTTTTTTTTGCCCTTGTGAACCTTGCCAAACCTTGTACAGTACACATATTGTTCCAGCTTATTGATAGAAACAAATTGATGGCTATCCTTAATTGATGGAAATACAATAATTTGAAATATAACTAATTGATTGAGATAAATCAATCTCTTATGACATAACAAGTTCTCATTTTTCTTGCTGCTAACCTTGAACGGGAATTGTAGTAAATGAATGTGAAGAATGCATTGCTGGATGGGAACTAAGAAGAAGTATACATGAAACTACCACCAAGATTTGAAGAAGACTGACATGGACTAAAGGAAAACTCGCTAATGATAACAGTCTGTCAATCGTTTCGAATCCTCATTGGGTAAAATGTAATAAATGAAAATTCTTTGCAATCATACTACAGAAACTTCAAAAGGCATTAAGTGCCATAAGATGAAAGCTTCAATTAGGAACAACTGACCTTCCTCGTGGAAGTTCAAAAGAAGATTGTGTGGATTATGATTCTGCTTCAACAGCAACAAAGGCTGTCCAGGATGTCTCAGCGTAATCCCATACCTGATCGACATCGAGTTGTTTAGTCAACTACAATGATAATCTAGGAATGGCAGGGCAGTAGAAGTGAGAGAAAAACAGTAGGAAGATGGATGAGGCAAATTATGCACCTTTTGTTGTAATAATCCGAGAAGGTTATGCAATCCTCCACGGACTTTCCATTGCTTCTATTATCAAAAGGACTATCAGCGAATAAGTTGATGGCTACTTCAATAATACAATATATTCTCCCGGTGTGAATGGCCAAAACTACCATATCTTTTAGATTATTAACATCAAGCACACAATTCGCAAAGTGAATCTTGTTTGTGCCTTCACATTCCTCATCTGATGATCTGGTATCACAAGGTGATGTGATTTTGCTGTTATCATTACAATCTCCACCAACCAAAAAAAATTTCCTCCTTAAATATTCAATAGTAGAGGTGCAAGAATTGATTCCACTCCAGTTTATTTGTAAAGATCCTTTAGATATATCATTCAATTTCTCAAGTGGTAGAAGCAAATACAAGTTATTAGGGCTCCACAATGTTTCTGTGTCTTCCTGAAGTAAAAATTCCCATTTCCCTCTTTCTGATTTGGACCTAAGAATCAATCTCCCAAACAAACCATTGAAAAAAAGCTCATGGAAGCATTTTGCTCTAATCATCTAGCAGAGAACACACAACAAAGGGTCAAATTAACTTTCAGAAGAAAATCAGATTAATGCTCTATCCTACTTCAGATCAAACCTTATTTTTATACCTGTTCAGCATCCAAATCAACTTGTCCACATGCAGAGACCGAAGCCTTCACAGTCTTTGAGATCAAATGAAGATCTAATTTCATATTCCCCACATCATCATCAAGCTTTGACTCAACCAGAAGAACAAATGCAGAGTAAATTTCACTAACAATATTGCATGTGAAATCAAATCTATAGGCATTAAATTTGACTCCATCAAATTTGTCTCCCCAAGTACCACATAATGCACGAATGCTGGTTGTGCCATGCAACTCCTTTCTTTTTGTTGTTCCTTCAAATGCCAAAAGCAAAGCAAAATCAAAATGTATCAGCACAAGTAACAGAATACTTTGGATGACATAAAACAAACATTTGCAGGTCCCTGAATAAAAATACATGGCAGCTTAGAGTAAAAGCACCACCAACTCATTTGCTTTACAATTTTTTTTTATTTTTTTTTTGTAAAAAAATAATGCAGAAATGAAAGACTACCATATGTATTAAGGGATGAAAGATTCTAGATTAAGTGCATTTGTTTGGAATGCTTAATAATCATGGATAACAGCCTCTCTCTTTTTCATCATAAAAGCTGTGCTTTCACTCGCTGGCAAAATGTTTGGGTAGAAAGACAAAAAGATATATACAAAAAAAAAAGACAAAAAGTTGAATTTTTTTTTTTTTTTTTGAGTAAAAATAGTTTTTTTCTAGAAGTTATCATTTCAAGTTTTTTTAAAGGATTTACTTCTCACACGTTATAGGAGAGAAGTTATTTTATGTTATGAGATAAATTAAATGGGACCCACCAATTTTTAAAAAAGTAAAAAAAAGAAAAAGTGAAACACATCTTTTTATGTGAGTACATCATGATATATGAATCTTATGCACTTTTTGTAATTGATTCTTGATTGTTTCACAACTTTGACTCAAAAATACTTTTTTACCCTCCAACAAATAATACTTTAAATCATTTCATACTTTTGGTAATTTACTAAATAGAAGTAATTTTTTATACAATCAAAACAAAATATATTATCTTGAAATCGATTTTCAATAATATGTCCATCCAAACATGAAACTAATTTTATCATAATTTATTTTAAAATAAAATAAAATAAATCATACATATAATGGATTACTGCATGATATTTCGCTTACCGCTAATTCAAACAACATTTACTGGCGGATAGAAAAGTCTTTGTCAGATTTTAGAAAGTTCACAATGGTTATTTCAAAATCTATATATTAAACTTGCCAAAATAATGTAGAATTCCAGGTGTCTATATATTTTTCCAAATAAAATAAGGGAATAAAACATTTTCTGTTGCTGCAAAATTGCTGATATCTTGCGACAGAAACAAGATTACGTGTCTCACTGTTTTTAGGCAAAATAAAAAAATAAAATATTTCCTGACACAATTTTTAAATTCTCAGCCGCAATCAATTCTCTTCTCGTGCAGTAGCAGGAAGAAGTAATTTGCCCATAAAACAAATGATTTTATAAGAGTTATGTTTTAGGAAAAGTGATTGTGTTATTTATAGAGATTCATTTTACGTGTCAGAGTGCTTTTTTTTTTTGGGTTTCAAAATTGTGGGTCCCACAAAATATTGTGTGTGTAGTAAAATTGTTGTGGTCATGTTAAATGATAGATGCAAAACTCTAAAACAAATACAAAATCTATTTTCCTCTAATAAACAAATATTTCTTGCAGCATCCTGTCAACTTCTATGCCACCAAAGAAAGGTGCCACACATAAACGGTAATTCCTGTTGTCACAACATTGTTAAATCTAGTACAGTGGTTCATATAGTGGCAAAAAGGATGAAAAATTATCTTTAAGAAAAACTTGCAACGGATATTTGAAATATGCACTAGAGTTTGGGAAGTCTTAGGCCTGAGCAGTATAATACATTATCTTTTCCAAAATTATATGCTAGATGTCATTATCAAAAACAAAATAAAAAAGTTAATATGTTAGATGTAATTGCAAAATTCAAATTAAAAGAAATATTTCAGCACTATTTATAACCAAAGGTAACAAAATAATCAGCAAAACAGCTATCAAGGTCTTACCAGAGCCTGTATGCAACCCTGCTTTGGGTTTTGAGTCTAAGTGATGGAACTCATGGAAGGATGGCTTGAGAGAATCACTACGTATCTGATTCTGGTTTAGGTTGTGGTTTGATGAGTCCATGTTATTCTGGTTTCGTTTTTTAGTTAATGTAATAATGTGATTTTTTAGTTACAGTAACAGTAACAACCAATCGAACCTCAACAAGAACACGTGTATATATATATATAGGAGGGCAGGTAAAGCACGCAGAATTTATTGTCCTTGTCACGAGGAATAAATTTTATTGATATAATATGATAAATAAAGCGTGGCTGTAAGAGTAAATTTTTCGTGATCATGACAATTTTTATTTTTATTTTTATTTATTTTTGGATACATGATCATGACAATTTATTCTTCTGCTGACTGTCCTCTGAATTTCCACACACAAGTTTGCAGCCACATTTGTATTCATGAATGTTAAACTTGCCACTCGGATCATCAATAGCCACGCATGCTTTTTGCATATCATTATTGACAAACATCAACAACTATTTGGATGATTCAGCACAATTAGGCTTCTAATTTGTAAATTCAATCTCCAATAGGATACCTGTAAAAATGATACAAGGCTTATCGCGGATTCAGATGGCATAAAATTGGTGCGAGGGTGAGATGTTGATAAAGCTGAAGTCGTTATTCATGTATATGTTTTGAGGTATAATTATTTTATAAAGATATAAATTACATAAACTCACATCATTGCCTTGGGTGAATTGAGGATAGGGGAGGTCGCAACGGGATGAACTTTCTCATGTGAAAAAGTGATCATGTAGTCATGTTTTTTGATCACAACCATTTATTCATGATGAGATAAGAAAGAAAAAAGTATATAACTTTTAAATGAGTAGTTGTGATAAAAAACATAACCACGTGATCACTTTTTCACATGAGAAATGAGAAGATTCACTCCCTTACGCAACAGTGAAGAGAATTTGACAAAGTAACATTGAGTTAATCGATGGAAAGGATGATTGATTAAGTGAGGTAACACGTGTATTAAGGAATTAAATACTCTCAAAAGTAAAGTGTGTGGGGTCTTGCAAGGCATCCCTTTGGATTAGCCTAGCAAGACCATCCCGCGGGTCCAAGACACTGATTTTGGAGGTTATTTTCTGCAAGTATGCTCAGGAAAGGATTTTTCCCACGTGGCATTTTAAATAACAACTTAGTTAGAATAAATTATCTGTGTTAAATTTATATATGATCCTCTCTTGTTAAAAAAAATGTATATTTATCTCCTTTTTACAAAAATATTAAATAAGCAAACTTATATTAAAATTTATGAACACGGAAGTAAATGCAGAACTTCTATATAACAAGATCATTGACAACGGTTATTTTCTGTTTTGCCCCTCAGTTGTTTGAAGGAAGACACATTAACAAGGATTTGAAATCCTTTAATCCTTCAATTATTAACCGAGAGAATTATTTAGGTACTCTGAACTCTAATTATACATGGGAAAAATATTTCTGTTATTAATGCAGATAAATTATTTGTATTTATTTTCAAAGCAACATCGTTTTGGTATTGAAATTTTAAAAAATTATGAATATAAAGATTATTATAACCCTGAAATAAATTAAAATTACAAAAATATCATGATTTTCGCCCTAAAACGACGTCGTATTGGACTTACTGCAGTTAAGTTATCTGCAGTAACTACAGAAAAAGTGAACCAATTATACATTTATATTATAAAGAAGATTTGGAATATAAGTTTTATCGACTTTATGTAAAAGTACACATCATTAAATCAACATAAGGTACTAAGTCCCATTTACAAAATACAAATGCTACAACTAAAAGTTAATTATGGTCTAGTACAAATTTTTACAACAAAATAAAACATAGACTTTATTGGATAATATTTCTGCCTGGATTCAAATGTCATCTACTTTAGATCTGTCCTCTATATTTTGAAAATAGACACTGAATGAGATATTTATCTCAGTGAAAAGAGCAATTAAAAATTTTTTCTCAAAAAAATGTAGTGAATAATATTAACATCGTACTAGTTTAAAATAGTCTTGACACCACAAATATACATAATATTTTCAGCCAAGATATTTTCATAAGCATAAATTTTTCTATTTATCAAAACTACTCTGTATTCTGCAAATGGTGTCCCTTTGCCTCATCTTCTCTATAGAATATGTTTCTTTGACTCAAGAAATTCAATTTTTTGACCATGCACATATTTAGATTACCTTCTATAAGGAATCTTATCAGTTTTTAACGCAGACAAACATGCGTATACATCCAAAAAGATTTCATACAAAGAAATTTTAGTTCATCATATATCATGAAGAAGGTTATATTTATAAATTTTTTGTTTATAAACTCTTACAAAATACACTATGTCTGGCCGGTAATACACTCTTGAGTAGAGTATTACCGGTTAGACATAGTGTAGTTTATAAGTTTGTAAAAAAAAAATTTGTCAATATAACCCTACTCATATATCACTACTTAAAAATTTAATATCACTATAAAAGTAAGAACAATCACACACAGTGTGTGCTCACGCAACACAAATTGGTAATAAAATGAAATATGCTTTCACAGACACAAAGAACAACCTTCAAGCAATAAAAAAGGAACTATATAAAATATTCTCAAGAAACTCAAGGAACACTACTAAAAAAAATCTGTATAGCGACGAAAATGTTATGGAAATTTCATTGCTAATTTCATCCTCACTACTACTTTCCGTCACAAATTCCCTCGCAAACGAATTTGCAATAGAAAGTAGTAGCGATGATGAAATTAATGACGGAATTTTCATAGCAATTATCATCGCTATACAGGTGTTTTCTAGTAGTGGAATCATTACATATGTATATATATTTCTTACCCCATCGCCCGATATCCCAAAAAAATATTTTCTTAACCATATAATTAACCATTGGTACTATTTTTTTCAGAGCAGATGATATAAAGGTTTTGGAAGGGATAGATAAGATGTCTCAATCTCTCAGGAAAACCGACTTAAAAGGGCGATGATCACATTTAACCTACTTAATCTATTGTTTCTTTCTAGCCTAATAAAATTGCTAGAGAGAAATTCATTCTTACCCAATTCTAAAGTTGTGCAGGATGGAATCTGCTTTAGAACAGATGAAAGCAAGGAATAGAAAGTACAACATTACATTGAGGTCTCTCAATTTATCATTGCTTGGATCACACATACTACTCAACATAAACATAACATTCTTAAAGATTTTGAAAAATGGATCCAAGAGCTTCAATTCTGTAGCTAGACCATCTAGGACTGTAGAGTGCAGAGATCTGAGACTACTATAGAAAAGCTGCAAGCCACGAGCCGAACCATCTCATCTGGATTGCAAGTACTCCATGCCGCCAGGAGTTGTTACAGAGTTTTATTGTATGCGTTAGTTCTAATTTTGCATACTTATTTACTTAAAGACATTTTATGATATCATGATTTCTAACATTAATTTTCAAAGTAATATGATTGATGTTATTTTAGTAAATAATAAGTATTTATATTTAATAATTTTCTGATATCATGAAATAATTTTCAAGGTGATGTTTAAGTGACGCAAAAAGAAAATGATCAATCAAAGTAAGAAAACGACAAGAAGAATGCTCACTAAAAGATTGTGAAGGTTGCCAAGAACAAATAAAAAAATCATAAAAATGATATTTCATGTGTTGTTATGAACATTACTTAAGGGTCTTTGTGAATTGTGATCTTGTTAAAAAACTATTTGAGAATTTTAATGAAATTGCCATTGATCTTTGTGATAAAAAAAATTTAAGAACATTGTTTCATGAAATTTTCATGTGATCTTTATGAACATTATATCATGTGTTGTTAATGAAAATATTATTTCATGTGATCTTTGTGAATGAGAAATTTTATCTTTTATATTTTAATTTGGTTTGGGCCTATAAACTTTTATTTGTAACTTAGTAGGCCTTGCAGGTTGTGTTAGGTTTTTTAATTTTTTATAATAGACATAGGTCAGGCCTATTAATCAAGTCTTTAATAGGCTAATAGGTCAGTATAGACTCTAAATATTTTACATAAGTTTAGGATATCAAAGTCAAAACTTGGCCTAGTATGACCCATTTACACCCCTGCTTGTAATCCATCTACTGCACGATTGTTGCCAACAGGCTGGGGAATTATCCAAACTTGAATTATACACATCTTTAAACACTAAGACAGGGCAAGATTAACTTACAATTACTTAAAAACAATAAGTTTTCTATCCAATCTCAATCATTAATTTACTTCTATAAGGGGTAACTTTGCATACTTGTAATCCATCTACTGCACGATTGTTGCCGGTAGGTTGAATGATTCTACATAAGGGGAATTATCCAAACCTAAATAGTACCCCTCTTCAAACACTAAGGTAGAGCAAGATCAACTTACAATTACTTAAGAACAAGAAGTTTTCTATCCAATCTTAATGATTATTTACTTCTATATATCTAATGGTTCTCATACAAATAAATCGGAGGCATTAGACATAAGTGGGATCGACGGTCAAAATTAAGATGATAACTTGAACTAGTAAAAATAGTTCCAGAGCCAGAATTTAATTATAGTCGGGGCAAAAAAAATTAACATATCAAATTATCAAAATATTTATCGTAATTATACAAATCTTTTAGGGGGAAATTTACCATGAATTCTAGCATACTTATCTAAATTATTTACTAAATAATGTCACATAACATTGAAAATTCAAATAAACAATAGTCAATGATTATATATCAAAGCAAACATATAAAAAAACACTAACCTTTTCAGTAAGCATTCCAAACAAAAGAATCTCACTTCCTCCCACAGGATAATAAGCAATGAACTAAGCATTGTCCTAAAGATATAAATACACACAAATATAATAATTATATGTATAATAACATTTAATAAACAATTTAATCTATAATAAAAAAATTGCATACTAAAATTGTAAACGACGTTATTTTAAATTGACAAAATCTTCAAGGATATTTCAGCAATCTCCCTTTCAATATACACAACCAAATTATTTGCAAGAAAGTCATCCTTCATTTTGAATAAAAGTGATGGCACACAACAAATAAATATATAATATTCAGGCACGATGGTTGATAAAACCTAACAAACAAAAAACAATAAGATAAAATAAAATATTTTGTGTGCATAGAAATTTAATTATTTAATCAACAGAAGCTACAATTTTCTAGCGAAAGATTAAAACTTTAAAACACTCTTTCTAATCCTCAACCAAAGAATCAACATTCAACAAACTAGATAACAAAAGTTAATTAAAAAACAAAATTTTAGTAGATATCTGCAAAACAGATGAAAGAGGTTAAGGAGAGTAACCGCAACAGTGAATGTAAGTAGCGTTGACAGCGAACGCCTGAAGAAGACACAACGCTGAAGAAGACACAACGTTGAAAAGAAGAAAAGCTTGAAAACAAGAAGGGTGCCCTTTTAAGAATGGACCTTAAATGATTATTATGGCTTAATGGCCGAGCAGTTTCACTTTCCGGGGGTGTTTGGTTCAAGTTTTTGGAGAGGATTACCGGTAATCCTTCTTTGGTAAATGTAATTACCACGTTTGGTAGAAGGAATAAATTACGATTCCCGGATATCCAAGGATTACCGGTAATTTGATTTATAAAGAAAAGTCACTATTCAGATTACCAAAAATAATATGGTAATTCGGAATACCAATCAGAATACCAAGTAAAGGGAAAGCACAACAATAAATTTTGAGACAAAAATACCCCAATACACATAAAAATCTAGACCCAATCTATCAATTACAAAAGTAAAAATAGTTTGGGGTTATTTTTGTAAAATAACCTCATATTCCAAGTCATATTTCGTTCTAAACCAAATATAGAATCAGTAATTTTTACCTAATATTCCCGGTAATATTTTGGCGAACCAAACACATCTTTCGTAAGATTCCAAGTAAACTCAATTTCTACTGAATTCTCATTAATCATGATTCCCGGTCACCAAAAAATTTCTCTTGTACCAAACACACCCTCCTTTCTTTCACTAATGGTCTTTGTAGCAAGAATTGTTGCATAGTGTAATGTGGGCTGTTAAAATATGCGTTTTCAATCTATAAAGGGCCATGTATTGTGGGTTGTTACATGTACGTTTTCAATCATTGAAAGATCCATAATAATTCATCTTTAATATATTTTAGTTTTTAGATAGGGCCAAGACTCCACCTAGCTACCAAGGTCCATAATAATCCATCTTCTATGATAATCTATTCATAATAAATAAAAAAATTTAAATTTAGCTAGAGCCTAGCCCCCACCTACCATTAAGGTGGCTATGCCACTGAATAAAAAACAATCGTGACATATATATATATATATATATATATATATATATATATATATATATATATATATATATATATATATATATATATATATATAAAGTAGGGTTACATTGACAAACTTTTTTTTTTATAAACTTACAAACTACGCTATGTATGACCAGTAATACTCTACTCAAGAGTGTATTATCGGTCAGACATAATATAATTTGTAAACAAAAAATTTATACATATAACCTTCTTATATATATATATATATATATATATATATATATATATATATATATATATATATATATATATATCGGGGTTTACATTTCTGCAACTGTTACGTGCAGCAATCGAATATTTGCCATATAAAATTATATCTGGAGCCGCTTTACATACAGCAACGACAAGTGTATAGTTATGATTATCCACATTTAATGCTTTCATCCTTTGTATGGTTATGATTCTCCGCATTTAATGCTTTCAAGTATATATATGGCAAGTATTTGATTGTTGCACACGTACATCAGCTGCAGAAATGTAAACCATATATATATATGGGAAGAAAAATATTTCTGCAGTTAATGCAGATAAGTTATCTGTATTTATTTCCAAAGCGACGTCATTTTGGTATTGAAATCTTAAAAAATTATAAATATAAAGACTATTATAACCCTGAAATAAATTAAAATTATAAAAACACCATGATTTTCGCCCCAAAATGACGTCGTATTGGGCTTACTGCCGATAACTTATCTTCGGTAAGCAAACCCTATATATATATATATATATGGAAAAAATATTTCTCAAGCAGCTTGAGATAAGTCTATCGCTACTCTAAAACTACGTCGTTTTATTTATTTATTTCCTTATATTAATTGATTCACCTTTGAATGGTTATGATTTTCTTTTTCTCTCTCTTCCTTTATCACCATTGATTCATCTTTGTACGGTTTTGTTTAGTAGCCGATTATCTCAAGCAGTTTAAGAAACGATAAGCTCATATATAATATATATATATATATATATATATATATATATATATATATATATATATATATATATATATATATATATTGGATCAATTTTTCATGTCAACTGGCTTACATTTTTATTTTTATTTTTGGTTAAAGGCAAATCCGGGATACTGGGTCCGTGCATTTAAGATAATTACTTTTCCTAGATTTTTGCCTAAAGTTTATTTTTGAGCAATTAAGGTTGTAAAAATACTTAACTTTAAGGTCGAGTGGCTAACCCTAAAATATATAAAGGGCAAGTATTGAAGTTCTTGAGGTGTGTATGGGAAATAGAAATGGTTAGAAATTGTATTTGGTAAAATGAATTTAATTTTTTATTCTAGAGAATGAACAGACACAACATAAAATATGTGTTTATCAACTATGTTTTTCGACCTGGAAACTATTCTTAAGCACTAAAATAAAATATTATTTTTCTCCCTAAGTAGGTCAGATAACAAAATAATTACTATACACGCCTAGGCCAAGTGGCTAACCTCACAAATATTGAAGTACTTATTTAGAGCATATAATATGATTCAATCCATTTGTGAAGGCAAGTGAGTACAATCTATTTTGTCAATTTTGCATATTTAATATTTTTCATTTTCTATATGTATTACTTGATTACCATAATATAAAAAAATATATAACATGGATTAACTTTAAACTTTAACTTCTTTTAGGACTAAACTACTAATTTAGTTTTCCAAAGATTTACTTGACATTAATTTGATCCTCAAAATATTTGTGATATCAAGTAAGTTCTTTAAATATTAAGAGATACAAATGTTACTTATTTTGATTTATAGTAACTTGACACAAAGATTATTTTGATGTCGATTTTAATCTTTGAAAGATTTGTGTGACATTACAGGATATTGCATGACATGGCAAACAATAAAAAGGACGACGCCAAAATCCAATGTGAATCTTATATATTTCTCTCTACCTAGAACCTACCATGCAAGTCAGTGAATGACAAAGGAAGTGCCAACAAAGGCGGGTTAGTTGATGGTTCGCACATAAGTGAACTCAAATAATGGGGTATTATTCAGGGAATGATTCAATTGTCACCAGTAATCACCACAAGAACAAATCCCACTCCTGAAATGATGAAATCGATTTGCATCTCTCAAAACAATCTCTCGCTGAAAAACCCTTGATATATATTTGATTGCATTATGGCAATCTCCACATACTCTAAGATTTTTAATTACCCTTAATGTGGTGGATGATGGAGTTTTTATGAGCCCATAAGCTATTGCTAGCTTCTCACTATGATAATATAAAGCACTCTCTTTATCTTCTTCTTCTATATCAGCAAGTGCAAAGTCTGTATCAGGGACATATCCTACTTCTCTGATCCTCTTAATAATATACTCCAGCTTATTATATATCATGTCAGCTTCTTCATGTGATCTATCGCCAGCTACAAACAAATGCACCTTGTTCTTCATATCTACCCAACTAAACCCCGGATCTTTTTTTACATTTACTCTTTTCATCATTTTTCTAGCACTCACCACATTTTCCCATTGGTTAGCAGCCGCATATATATTGGATAAAAGAACATAAGCAGCTGAATCAGATGGCTCCAAGGCAAAGAGCTTTTCTGCTACACGTTTTCCCGTCTCTTTGTCTCCCTGAACCCTACAAGCATTAAGCAGAGTTCTATACATTGAAGCAGAAGCTTCAAAAGGCATTGATAATACCACCTTTTCAGCTTCTTGTATACACCCCGCACGGCTAAGGGCATCAACAAGACAAGAATAGTGCTCAATCTCAGGTTCAATTCCATAGTTCTTCTGCATAGAATAAAAATTTTCATAGGCTTCGGATATCAAACCAGAATGACTACACGCAGAAAGGACCCCGATAAAAGTAACTCTATCTGGCGTTACACCCCTAGTTTTCATATCTTTGAAAAAGTAAAGGGCTTCCTCAGCATTTCCATGTTGAGCTAATCCTACTATCATGGCATTCCACAAGGCAATACCCCTCGTGTTCATTCTTTTAAATAAACTGTATGCATCTTCTATGTTCCCACACTTGGCATACATGTCAACAAGCGAGGTCATCACATAAGGATCAAAAGCACAGTTCAACTTTATAACATTTGCATGAATTTGTCTCCCCTGTTCCAAGGCTGTTAAAAGAGAGCTAGCCTTTACAAGGGTAGCAAAGGTATACTCGTCAGGTTGCACCCCAGCAAGTCTCATTTGATGGTATGTAAAAAGAGCACGCTCCTCGCCTCCATTTTCCACAAATCCTGAAATCATAGTAGTCCATGCAACATCATCTGGCGAAGAGATCTCACCGAAAACTTTGTATGCACTTTCCATCTCTCCACATTTTAGATACATGTCCAGAATACCACTAATGACAAACAAATCTAAATTAAACCTCCTTTTTATAACAACAGCATGAATTTGCTGCCCTTGTTGAAGCCCCACTAAGCATCCAGCGGCTTTAGCTGCATTCGCCAGTGTAATCTCATCTGTTCTCTCTCCACTTTCATGCATTAGACTGAAGAGCCCCAATGCTTTGTGATAGCTACTACTCACTATGTACCCATACATCATAGCATTCCAACATGACAAATCAAATACATCTTGGATATGAAAAAGAGATTCTGCCTCCTCCATCTTTCCACTCTTAGAATAGACATCAATTAGAGCTGTTGAAACAAATGAATCCAAGATGATGCCAGCTTTTATTGCATGAGTATGAATCTGCGTACCCAGATAGTAGCCTTCTTTAAGAGAGGAGCAAGCCCTCAAAACACTTGCAATGGTGAACTGATCAGGAAATAAGCCACTGCGTAATAAATCAATGAACAAGCTAACAGAAAACTCTTCTAAACCATTCAGTCCACAACCAGATATCATGGTGTTCCATGATATTAAATCCACCTCTTTCATTTGACTGAACATTACTTTTGCATAATAAACAGAACCTGCCTTAATGTACATATTTATAAGGCTATTTGCAACAGAGACAACTCGATCCAACCCCGACCTCACAACAACACCGTGAATCTGTTTTCCCAGTTCAAGATGGTTTACATTGGCAACAGCAGAAAGGATCACAACTAACGTCAAGCTGTCATATGGTACATGTGATTTGACCATATCTATAAAACAAGCAATAGCTTCCCAAGTTTCACCAGCTTGGAGATATTGAGACAATGTCTTGTTCTGCAGAATCACATCCAAATCATCATCACACAGAAACAATTTCGTGGCATAAGCTCGAACCTGCCTTTCAAAAACAGTTTTACCAACAGCAGCGAGAAGAGTACGGACACTGATGTAATCTGGACGCAGCCCACTTCGGTGAAAAGCTGAGAAGAGAAGTAACGCTTCATCCTCAAGACTCATTTCCACGTAGGCCTTCAACATCACGTTCCAGAGCACCAAATCCTTTACAGGCATCCCATCAAACAAAACACGAGCCTCTCTGATTCGTCGAAACTTGGCGTATATATTGACCAAAGCCCCAGCCACAAACACATCCCATTCCAACCCAATCTTAAGGGCGTAACCATGCAAGGCCTCGGAAGCGAAGACAGAACCCGAGAGCAGGCACATCTTTAACACAGGAGCCAAAGTGTGACGAGTAGTCAACACAACAGATTGACGGAGAAGACGGAAAAGGTGAAAACCCTCTTGAGTTTTCTCAGCATCAGTGTCTCCGGCATGCGCATAGGCAGCGAGAATGGCGTTCCAGGTGACGAGGTCTCTGTCAGGCGTTATATCAAACAGTTTACGTGCTGACGATAGTGACCCGCATTTGCCGTACATTGTGATGAGGTTGTTCGTTAGAAAACGATCTGGGTGCTGCCCGGAGGTTAAGATGCGCGCATGAGCACGCTTTCCGAGGAGAAAATCCGAAGCGGCAATGGCATGGCGGAGGATGGAAAACCATTGACCAAGAGAGTGAGAGAGCGCGAGAGAAGGGAAGTGAATGAGGCGAGCGCGTGGAGTTAGTGGACTGACAATGGAAGTGGCTCGCAATCGCGAATGCATCTTCGCCTTCGGAACTCATTATCCGATGTTGGCTACAAAACAACTACTTTGGAAAACTGTTGTTCTGTTGGAATTGAAAGGGACAAAATATTCTGGGACTAGGAATCGATTTGCCATCCTGAGTCCACCAACACGTTTGCAATGGGGGCGGGAGTATGTAAAGTCAACCATTCAAAATCATTTTACAAGAGAAGTATTATATAACATTATTTGAGTAATTTTTAAGCATATAAGTTTTAAATCAACTAGGCAAGAAAATAATAAAATTTAAAGCGAAAAAGGTATTTTGTAATGAAACAAGGAAAAACATTTTTTCAGGTTGCATCATAATTCAATTTTCATATTGTGACCCTTCGATTTGTGTGCAAATATTTTATTTTTATTTTTTTAATAAATGTGGAATTCATTGAGTTACAGTATGAAAATTCAATTCTACTGCAATATGAGAAAATCAAACTCCATGAAACAATTACAATTCATCAAAACTGAATAATTAAATTTAGTCATAGAACAATCACTTCGATAATGCAAAAGTGAAAACAATTTTCAAAACTACTTGTGGAGTTCGTGCAACGGTCCACAGATTTTGTCATCCCTGGAGATTACAAGAGTGCTGTTTTATTGGTTATTATTACAATAAAATGTATTTTTCCTTTCTTTATTTTTTGTTATTCAGTTGTAACAGCAGCTGAGCTGGATATTGTTAGGACCCATGTGTGGTTAGCGTGAGCATTTTCTTTACGATTCTGTTATGACTCTCCTTTCTTGCTTTTGCTGATATATACAGCTTCTGTACTGCACACTTGGTTCAATCAACACAAAAAGATGAATATTCAGTTTAGGCTCTGTTTTCTATAGCTAATATGGTATCAGATGTTTTCCTTTGATCTTCTCTGCCATTCTTAATGGCTCGTGGAAACAACCGTCCACCACCTACCGACTCCACCTCTGCTAGTTCGGGCACATCCGCATTCATGGATGATCCATCTAGCCCATATTTTTTGCATAGCCGTGACCATCCTGGTCTTGTTTTGGTTTCTCATTGTTTGACTGGTTCTAATTTTAATTCCTGGCAGCGTGCGATGTTACTTGCATTCACAGCTAAGAACAAGTTGGTGTTCGTTGATGGCACCCTTCTTCGTCCTCCTACAACTGATCTCTTGTTCTCGATTTGGAATCGCTGTAACTCCATGGTTTTCTCCTGGATTTTGAATTCTGTCACCAAGGATATTGCAGACAGTCTCCTCTATTTCACCAATGCGTATGATGCTTGGGGTGATTTGAAAACACGATTCTCTCAGGCGAATGGCCCTCGGATTTTTCAGCTTAAACAGCAGATCTCTTCTCTTTGCCAAGGCTCGTTGGATGTCAATGGCTATTATACTAGGCTGAAATCGCTCTGGGATGAGCTCCTTGATTATGCCCCTTTGCCGAATTGTACTTGTGGTGCTCTTCGCCTCGTCCATAATCATAGGGAACAAGATCATGTTCTCCAATTTCTAATTGGACTCAATGAATCCTGTGCTTCTTCGCGGGCTCAAATTTTACTCATGGATCCACTTCCTTCACTTGCTAAGATGTTTTCGATGATTCTCCAGAAGGAGCGTCAACGGCAATTGTTTGTGTCTCTACCATCGTCTGCCATTCCGAATTCTCCACTTTTGAATTCGGTCACCACTTCCTCTTCTTCACCATCAACTATTGATCCTCCATCACCAACGGTGGCTGCTGTCCAACGCCGCCGCTCAATTTGCACTTACTGCCACCTCTCAGGACACACCCGTGATAAGTGTTTTAAGCTAAACGGATATCATCCTGGTTACAAACCCACGGTTCCCAGGCCCAATACACTCCCTCCTCCGGCCCAATTGCCAGCCCAAGCCTTTTCGGTCTTTCCTGGTTCACACAACCCGTCTCACATTCTCACTTCTAACCAGACATCGCACCCTAATTTCCCTACCAGTGACTCACCGCTTGCATTTACCCCTTCTCAGTACAACCAGCCGGTGTCTCTTCTTCAACAGAGTTCTGCGTCTTCACGTCCGTCTTCTACATCCTCTGTCACTGATTCTACTCCTTCGGTAGCTAGCTTCAGTGGTAAGACCCTTTCCTTTCCCCCATCTTGTTGGATTTTGGACACAGGTGCTACGCACCATGTCTGTGTCAAACTTGATCTGTTTTGTTCTCATGCTCCTTCTACTTCTTTGGTGACTTTTCCAAACGGATCATCTGTCGTTGTTTCTTCAGTTGGTTCTGTTAGGGTTTCTGATTTTATTTTTCTATCGAACGTTTTATTTGTACCTTCTTTTTTCTTTAACCTTTTGTCCATCAGTGCTTTGACTCGCGACTCTCAAATCATTGCTAATTTTTCTTCTTCCTTTTGTTTCCTCCAGGATCGTGTTTCGGGAAGGATGATTGGGATTGCTAAACGTCATGGTGATCTCTATCTCTTAGACAGTACTAATTTGTTTCCCACTGCTCATGTTCCCTGCTCCCTTTGTTTTTCTTTTTCTGTTAAAACTGCATCTCTATGGCATTCTCGTTTGGGACATCTCTCCCATCCTGTTTTAAATTCTATGAAACACATTTTGGGTTTTTCTGATTATTTGCATGTGGATCATCATTGTCCCATTTGTCCCTTGGCGAAACAGAAACGCCTCCCATTCATTTTGAACCCTCATCTCTCTAATTCTCCCTTTGATTTGGTTCATTGTGACATTTGGGGACCCTTTACCACTGTCTCTGTTGAGGGTTCACGTTATTTTTTGACCTTGGTTGATGATTCAACCAGGTTTACATGGACTTATTTTCTACGTAATAAGTCTGTTTTTTCGACTTTTTTCTTTCCTTCTATCATTTGATTTGCACCCAGTATAAGTCCTTTATAAAATCCCTTAGATGTGACAATGCTCATGAGTTTAATCTGTCCTCCTTTTTCTCTTCCAAAGGCATCCAACTTTTTCACTCATGTGTAGATCGTCCTCAGCAGAACTCTGTGGTAGAAAGGAAGCACCAGCACCTCCTTAATGTTGCCCGTGCCCTCCATTTCCAGTCCAAAATCCCTCTTCAGTTTTGGCAAGACTGTGTTCTCACAGCAGTCTACCTCATTAATAGAACACCTTCTCCTCTTCTTCATTCTAAAACCCCTTTTGAATTACTTTGCAATAAATCTCCTTCATATGCCCATCTTCGAGTTTTTGGTTGTCTTTGCTATACTTCTACTCTCCCAAAAACTCGAAATAAATTTTCCCCACGTGCTTTGCCTGCTGTTTTTCTTGGCTACCCTACAGGCTACAAAGGTTATAAACTTTTAGATTTGGCTTCCAATAAAACTTTTATTTCACGGGATGTCATTTTTTATGAGCACATTTTCCCATTTTCCCTGAGTCATACACCTTCTTCTTTTCTCACTGAATTTTCTCACCTCCCTCCTGCCTTTAACCCCACTACAGTTTCTTTACCTTCCACCAGTACCTCAAGACCTCCACGGGCTAGGCATCCTCCTGCACATCTTTCTGACTACATTTGTTCTTCTTCTACCAATCATCCTTTATCCAATTTTATCTCTTATAATCACCTTTCTTCCTCTCATTCAGCATTTGTTAATTCCATCTCTTCTATTTTTGAGCCTGCTACTTTTTCTCAAGCATCTCAATTACCGGAATGGCAGGTTGCTATGACCACTGAGCTTTCTGCCCTTGCAGCCAATTCTACTTGGTCCATTGTATCACTTCCTCCAGGTAAGGAGGTTGTTGCCTGTCGATGGGTTTACAAAGTTAAGTATAACTCAGATGGCTCTCTTGAAAGGTATAAAGCGTGTTTGGTTGCTCAGGGTTTTAGTCAACAAAAAGGTATTGATTTTCTGGAAACTTTTTCTCCTGTGGCTAAAATTATAACTGTGCGAGTGCTTATTGCTTTGGCTGCAATTCATAACTGGTCCCTCACCCAATTGGATGTTAATAATGCATTCCTTCATGGGGATTTGCATGAAGAGGTATATATGTCCTTACCCCCTGGTTATTCTTCTACCCAGACTTCTCATTTGCCTCCCAATGCTGTTTGTAAGTTGCACAAATCACTTTATGGCCTTAGACAGGCTTCACGGCAATGGTTTGCCAAGTTTTCTGCCACCTTGTTAACTCTTGGTTTTACACAGTCTCAGTCAGATTACTCCTTGTTTATTCGGTACTCATCCCATACGTTTCTTGCTGTTTTGGTTTATGTGGATGACATTATAATTGCTTCCAATAATTCTATAGAGGTTCAGCAGCTGACTTCTCTTTTACACAGTAAGTTTAAGCTGAAAAATCTTGGAAACTTAAAATATTTTTTGGGTTTGGAAGTTGCCCGTAGTCAAAAAGGGATCTCTCTTTGTCAACGACATTATGCTTTGGAAATACTTAAAGATTCTGGTCATTTGGGATGTAAACCGCGTTCTGTTCCCATTGATGCTGGTCTCAAACTTTCTTCTGATGTTGGTGACTTGCTTACTGATCCTAGTGTATACAGACGCCTTATTGGTCGTTTGATTTACCTTACAATTACACGGCCTGACCTCTCATTTGCTGTCACTCATCTTAGTCAATTTATGAGCACTCCTCGTGAACCTCATTTACAAGCAGCTTACCGTCTTCTTGGTTATGTCAAAGGCACCATTGGTCAAGGATTGTTTTATTCATCTACTGCCTCTCCTCAGCTGAATGCTTTCTGTGATGCTGACTGGGCTGCTTGCCCTGACAGTAGACGCTCTATTTCAGGATATTGTGTTTTCATTGGTGACTCTTTAATTTCCTGGAAGTCTAAGAAACAACACACTGTTTCTAGATCTTCTACTGAATCTGAATATCGTTCTATGGCTCATGTGACCTGTGAGCTGTTATGGTTATTTTCTTTGTTTAAGGATCTGCATTTTTTACATTGTAAGCCTGCTCATCTTTTCTGTGATAATCAATCTGCTTTGCACTTGGCAGCCAACCCTGTTTTTCATGAACGCACCAAACACATTGAAATTGACTGCCACCTTGTTCGTGAACACATCATCAAAGGTACCTTGAAGACTTTTCCGGTTTCTTCCTCCAACCAGCTTGCTGATCTCTTCACCAAAGCTTTGCTGCCTTCCAAGTTTACTGTTTTGTTATCCAAGATGGGAGTTTTAAATATTTACTCTCCATCTTGAGGGGGCCTATTACAATAAAATGTATTTTTCCTTTCTTTATTTTTTGTTATTCAGTTGTAACAGCAGCTGAGCTGGATATTGTTAGGACCTATGTGTGGGATTGTTGGGACCCATGTGTGGTTAGCGTGAGCATTTTCTTTACGATTCTGTTATGACTCTCCTTTCTTGCTTTTGCTGATATATACAGCTTCTGTACTGCACACTTGGTTCAATCAACACAAAAAGATGAATATTCAGTTTAGGCTCTGTTTTCTATAGCTAATAGTTATCAATCATCGAATCCATTAATTTTACAAACATAAAGTTTACTCTTATTGAAACAATTTTAGAGAATGTCGATTCACAGACAGTGAGTCAACTGACAACTCTCATTGATTTTACGAACCAATCTCTTTGCATGCAAAACTTGTGTTAAGAAAAGCAATGTAAATTAGAACCCGGAAAGTAACAAGCCCACGATCATTGCAGTTCCTTCTTGAGTATTTGTTGCCATATGTAAATTGTTTGGCATAGAATCTAATTTGCAAAGTCAATTGTTCTATCGTGTAATCGAATTCTATCAGTTACATCTGAATCAAAAGAAGAAAAAAGAAATTTAACAAGGAAATGAAAATTTGGGTACAAAATTAACAGAAGGAAAATGATCCCATAACATGGGCTGCTGTGAAGTCCTGTCCTGCTGACTAATGTAAATCTGATGCTGCAGCTAAACCTTAATGATACAAATCTGCTACAACAACCCTTCTCTTTCTTTTTTTTTCCACTAACTGCTGCTGCTTCTTTTTTCCTGTTCTTCAGGCTTGGATTTTGCCACTACTTCTCATATACAGATACAAGAATGATTACAATGTCCATGTTCATGGACTTTACTTTTACAGTGTCAAAAAACTTGTTCACATCATTGGTTCAATATACCACAACACGAAGTAGGCCTGGCTGAGGTTCTGTGAAGTTAAGGCCCTCTTCAAGTAGAAAATGCTGTACGGTTACTGGAAGTCTTGCGGGAGTACGGGAACCCCTGGTATGATGACCTGTACCTACACAAATATAAACCTGCAGCCGCTGCTCAGTAGCTAAGGCAGTGCTTTTCAGCACACTCAATTCATGTTTCAGCACATGAATGGCTTCACTTGCGTGCAACCCGTGTAGGTCTATCATCCTATCATGTCCTCTACCATTGCCCTGCATCTCTGGAGCAACTGGATTTCTGAAAAATCAACACTTGCAATAACTGAGACAGAACCCAACACTTAGAAAACCAATCCGGTAAAGCAAAATTTTAGAACAATGTACAGGAACATTCTGGTTCATACAATGATAAACACCCCCGCCCGGTAATCATTCTAGAAAGAAACTGTTTGGCAGCCTATACTAGCGAGGAAGAAAAGGAAAGAGCTGCAGCAACTTTGAGCAGTATATGTTCTTAATGGAGGAAAGACACTCTCAAACTTATACAGTAATCTTTGTGAGCCACTGGATAACAACTTGACATTCCTAACTTTTATAAAAGGGCTCAGATTGTTCACACCTCTCCACCAAGTGAGACAATCATTATCCTTCTCAATGGCTAGCAGTCGGCATAAAAAATATTTAAGTAGGAAAGGAAACGCAGAAAGTAAAAATACGTTTGAAAAGGAGTAGAGCCAACTCGTCAAAAGAAACTCTCATCTTAATATATACAGGTTGTGTGGGGGCAGAAAAATAAGTTGTTATCACGTCGTCAAATATGCTTTTTATTTTAACCAAAACTCATGTGGAGAGGAGGAATGAAAGCATTGGGGAACTACAAACCTCTGGCGGTAAATAGATTCTTGAGCTTTTCCATGAGCTGCTTTCATATGCATGTTGTGCTGTTGCCCTTTAACACTTAGTTCCTTTGCTAGGGCCTTATTTCCAATAAGATAGGCCTGTCGTGCCTGTTTTCAAATTAGAAACCAATCAAACCCAAAAAATCTAAGGTCACACAAAAACAGATTCAAGTGCGGATGGTCCCGGACTTTATCTTTTATTCATGTTCCTGTCGGTATCAGCCCAACTAGATTATCGAAAGTTACATATTAATAATAATAATAAAGAAAGCAGAAGATTAATTCAGAGGAGAGGAAAGGAAGTCAAGGGAATGTCTGTCAATGTGAACCAAGCAAGAAGCATGTAGCGAAAATCATTTTTTTATATTCTCATTCATTTGCCAGTAACTTCATCAAAGCATGAATGGAAGATCCACCTGCTCAAAATATGCATTACGTAATCGTGCATGATCACGAGCCTCCTCCCGCACCTCTGAATACATATTTGCTGCCATACAAAGTTGTTAAAGAAAACAGTGTACAAAGAATTCAACCAATAATTGAAGCATATAAACACCATTATTTACCAACTGCGTCGCCAGTTTCAAGCCAAACAGGAGCTGCCCTAGCTGAACCACGAATCTGTAACCGATCACCAAAGTTGACTCTCCCCTGTCCACCATTGTAGCCACTAGCCAGAACATTAGGACTCCTGCTTGAGCCAATCACAGCATCCCCAAAGCCATTTTTTTCATTCTTCCAAATACCAGAATCCTGAGAAGCCAACTTCCTAACGGCTGAAGCAAAGTCAACAGCACCTCTAGATGGAACTGAAGAGCTGGATTTGAAAAACAGCATATCATTGCCAGATGATCGGTAAGGATTGCCATTTTGTTGGACATTATCTACAGCATATTTTATAGAAGCAGTCTGGACATCTGGTGAAGTAAGTGCAGGGAAGTCCATTGCACTGAGATTGGGAGCTGACAGAGTCTTTGAATTCAGGTTCTGATTGAAACTACCTTCAACTTGAAGCTACAAATTTGGAGGGATGAAAAAAGAGAGATGATTAACATAAAGTTCCTAGCTTAAGAAGGATTGAAATAAGTAATAATAATAAATGACAGTGGCATCCACAGAATGGAGAACAAATTGTACAACTTGATCATATATCAATAAAATGCTAATAAAATACCAATGGCCCCTTGATAACATGAAACAGAGAACCATCATCACATAACTAAACCCAAAAAAAAAAAGTGCAGATCAAAACTTAAAAAGATTATCTCTAACAACTCCCTCCCCCCAGTACCAGGCAACAGCAATTAGAAACTGGAAGCTAGGTTGCACTTGAATCACTTCACAGCTTATAGGGAGCTGGCTCTTCCCTGCCAAAACAAGGCACAGGTATTGCTCTAAATACTTAGCATCCATCCCATCAGACTTAGCATTGTACTAAAGCATACTGCATTGTAACATGCTAGGAGATAGATATTGTACATGAATATAAAGGACAACATATACATTTTCACATGCACGCACATGATATGAGGCTTATAAGGAACCACAATTTGGCCACAAGTCAGTTATTACATGAAGATCAACCTACCTCTAATTGAGTGAGCACCTCAATGGTCAGATCAAAATCGCATCCATTGGCAAGGTAAACTTCTGTAAGGCTTTCTGCCGCAAAACCAGGGAACAGAGAAGCTAAAAACTCCAAAGGGTTCAAATCAGTATCATCCACAATTCCATTCTCAGCCAAAACATCATTTAAGAATCCATGTCTAGAGTTGTCATCAAAAACAAGCCCTTCTCGACCACTGCTAATATGCTGATTGGTACACCCAATTGGCTTATCCCAAGGCTTTGTCAAAGTGTTCAAAAAGCTTGCTGAAGTCGGATCTTCCCTGTAGCTTGAATGGGAAAACCTTAATTTATCAGCAATGCTATTGCCATTAATATGCTGTTGAGATAACTCCTGCGGCTCATTTATTATATATCTACTTTCTTTAGAAGTAGGAAACCTTGAGGCTTCAGTGTCATCATGTATGGATAAACCCGCCAAAGAAAGGTCTTTACGACCTTGGGACTCATCTTCTCCCATGACCCCAAAATCAGGGGTTATATCATCAGGGAGCTGACATCGCCAGTACTGGTGCACCTCATCATCGGAATTATTTGAAATGGATGATTCTGATCTGTCTAAAACTGCTTTCCCAAGAGCTCCAGCAGTAGCAAGCCTTGCTTCTGCATCGACCGAGCTAGTAGTTCCAGGTAATGATGATCTGAGAGCAAAAGGAATAAACTCTGCAGCATTTGGATTCAGAGTGGTTGCCTTGTTTGGGCTGAGTAGCTTTGCATCCATTTGGGATCCGTTCTTGGATAAGTTCATTACTAACTAGAATATGGACAAAATAACTACAACACAAACAGACTCTAAAAATAGTAACAGCACATGTCCAGTCAGCCTCAACCCAACCCTGAAAATGGTTCAATTTGATCATGCTCATTGATCAACCAGACTGCTATAAAAAGAACAGGGGAAAAAATGAAAGTTTCGCCACAGATTTCATGCATCATGTAGCAGATAAATGAATTCAAATTCAATAGTATCTCAGATAACATGAAAGTGCCAATTAAATAACTCAATATAGAACAACAGTTGCAACTATTTTTAGAAATCCACCACCGATAACTGCCAAATAAGTAGACCGGTCGAGGGTATGCAGCGTGTGTAATATAAGAGGCATAACTAGGTATTTGAATATCACTGCAAGCAACTATAGCTGGCCATTTTCATTACTATAACTTGGAAGTGAATCCTGTAAAGCTAAATTGAACAACAGAAACACGAGTTACAGAACCTATAGGAAATCTCACAAATACCGAAGAAAGCTTTAGAGAACTCTGGCCAATTTCAGAACTAGGAAGACACAGCAGGACACGGTTAAAACCCCAAAAATTTTCTAAGGAAATATAAAACAAATTCTAAGATGAACTAAAACAATTGAGAGAATTCTCTTGAACAGCAACTACCTGGAAACCCCGCTAATACAAGGAAAACAAGAAAGACAGAAAGAAATCTACAAGTTTCAAACCCGAATTTTACAAGAACATCAAACAAAACAGAAATAGTAACGAGTTAAAGCATGAGCGCACAAAGAACGCAACCTCCCAATACAAAAGCCGCAAACTTTAAAGAGATCTTGAGCAATTCAACCCGTCAGAAAATAAAAAGAAAATAGACAAAACAAACCCAATAAGTAAACAGTAATTAAAACGGAAGAAAAGCTGCAAATTACAGAAAGTGGAGAAAAATTAATGAGAAGGGTAAGTGAAAGATCTGAAATTTAAGGAAGAGTGCAAACAAAAAGTATTATACCTTTGCGAATCAAATCAAAGGAATCCATGGGCATGAGAGATCAGACGGTAAGAGAGGGAAAGATGAAGAGCAAAGAATAAAGCTAATTTTTTTTTTATTTTTTTTTATGGGAAATTGAGCTTGGAACTATCCCATCTCCTCTCCAGTATATGAGTATGATTATCGGGTCAGGACAGGACTTTCTCTCTCTGTGTATGTGTGTATGTGTATGTGTGTGTGTTTTCTATGTTTTGAAACCCTCTTAGCCAATACAAGCACGAGCACCACCACCACAAGAATACTAAACAAACCTCTGTATTTCTCTCTCTACAATATCACCCTTTTTAGTTTTTAGTTTATACTGCTTGCTAGCAATTAACTACATGGTTGGGATTTGGGAAGAAAAACATTACCCCAGTCAGCTTTTCTTTTCTTTTCTTTTCTTAACTTTTATGCATTTAATTTTTTTATTAGAAAATCCTTCTTCTTTTTTTACTGTTTTTTTTCTTTTTTTAAGCCTCTTGCTACACTAACTAGAAAAAGTGAAAAACTAAAAACATTAGACTTTAAGAAATGAGTAAACATCTTTTTTGGTCCCTAAAAAAAAATACGTCTTCATTTTAATCCTTTACAAAAATAAATTAGTCAGTTAGTCCCTAACAAATTCAAAGTGAACTCATTTTAGTTCTTTTGATGGACTAATATAGGTCTTTTTTGAATTTATGAGGGACCACGATTTCAACTAAATGGGTCCACTTTAAATTTGTTAGAGACTAACTGACTAATTTATTTTTGTAAAGAACTAAAGTAAGGACTATATCTTTTGTTAGGGACCAAAAAAGATATTTACTCTTAAGAAAAATATGCTCAAATGAACTGGCTGCACTCACCTCAAATAGAAAAACCCAAATTTTCTCTTTTTTATTATTTTGGTTTTTAATAAAGGAAAACTACAAAACCAATTAGCGTACTATTTCTTTGAACTTTACGTTATAGTACTTAAAATATGTGCTTGACCTATGATCACAAGGCGGTACTTCATATTTATTACATTACTTTAAATGGACGTTTGGTAGAGGAGAAAAAAAAAATTTATCTGAAAATCTTGATTTTCAAAAATATCATTTTCATATTCAGGATAATATCCGCAAATTTAAAATTTTAAAAATTTCAGTTTCTCGAAAATCCGGTCAAAATCCTGGTACCAAACGCCCCATACACAACTAACTATATTAGTACTGTGTCTTTTCGTGCGTTAAACTCGTGCTGAAATTGCTGTGTCCTCGTATATTAATTGTTGATGTTAATGGAAATGCATTATTGTACAACAATTTTTGTTATGGCTTTTTTTAATTATTTTACAACTTCTTCATGACAGTAAGGTCAAAATTATGGAGAATTGTAGGGGGGGGAATAATGTGCATTGTAGTTCAGCATTTGTTTGTTACCGCTTTGTTTAATGATTTCACAGCTTCTTTAAGGAAGTAAGGCCATAATTATGGAGAATTGTAGGGTGAAAAAAATTAATGTGCATCAATGTACAACAATTATTGTTATTGCTTTGTTTAATTATTTTACAACTTCTCCATGGAAGTAAGGTCATGATAATGAAGAAAAGTAGGGGAAAGAAAAATTAATGTACACCGTTGTACAACAAATTTTGTAACCGCTTTTCTAATTGTTTTACAACTTCTTCGTGGAAGTAAGGTCATAATTATGGAGAATTGTAAAAACCCAAAAGGAAATGAATACGTACAATTAATTTTAGTTGAAGAATCAATTATGATGCCGTGATACTTTTTTTTTTTTATTATAATAGATGCCGTGATACTTTAATAGAACGCATTTTCTGCATTTTTTTCTTCTCAGCCAAAATGGTTTGAAATCATTTACAAAGTGCAGAAATAGCGAATGCTGACTTATGAAACTTCTGTGAGTTATAGACCTCGCCAAAGGACTTGCCTCTCTTTTTAAACGAGAGATTAGTCTCATCTTTCTTTCGGTGGCAAAGCTCAATGTACTGCTGTTTCAATAAGGGATAGCTTTCAGAGCCATACTCCAAATATAAAGTGATCAAAAGAAGTTGAATGAGAATATCTTCAAATTACAACAACAACAACAAAAAGTTATGCAATGAACATGGGGCGAGCATTACAGTTTCACGCCTTGGAGATTGTAACGTCGCAACGTTATTTTCTTATTAATTAACATATTAACTAAGAGAAAAATATTTTTTGCAGTTACTGCATATAAGTTATCTGTATTTATTTCTAAAACGATATTGTTTTGGTATTGAAAAATTAAAAAATTAATAAAGATTATTAATTAACATATTAACTAAGAGAAAAATATTTTTTGCAGTTACTGCATATAAGTTATCTGTATTTATTTCTAAAACGATATTGTTTTGGTATTGAAAAATTAAAAAATTAATAAAGACTATAATAACACTGAAATAAATTAAAATTACAAAAATATCGTGATTCCGCCCAAAACGACCTCGTATTAGACTTATTGCAGATAACTTTTCTATAGTAACGACAGAAAAAACGAACCCATTAACTATAGTACATATATATTGACTGCTATACGAGTATACGACCCAAGTAAGGGGCCGACGGTTGTACCACCGCAAAGAGTTTGACAATACATTTACATTGGGCTTTTTTTTTAATCGAATATTGAAGGCCTAAAACGCCCAAAAGATACGTTGGGCTTTTGTTACCATTATAAAAAAATTGTTAAGAAAAAAAGTGAGTTTGCTACAAGTCAATGGGACCACCCCTCTCTTCCATTTATATTCTCTTACTCCTAGTAATATTAAGTACTATCATAAATAAATAAGTTATTGTTATTTTTAAAATTTGCATTAAAATAATTAAATAATAATTAATATCATAAATATATCTTATTTGTTTGATGCAATTTTTGGAATAATTTATTGCTCGTATACTCATATTCTGTAATTTATGTAAATTCAAAAATGATAAATTTATATTATTGGATTTTATTTTCCTTTTTTATGGAACTATTTAAATATTTGATAAATTTACTAATTTAGTAAATGATAATATACATGGTCCATAATCGTTTAAGTCCTCAATGTTATCGAATATTGGAACTTTTTTACAAAATAAAGATAAATAAATAATGATCTAATTATCATTATTAATAATAAATTTTACAATTTTAAATTTGTAAGAATTCTGAAATATCATGCTAGAACGAAAACTAGTTATATTATCAATTATTATTTGACTTCATTCATTTAATATTAATTTTTATTTAATAATAATATTAAAGTAATGCAATTTATACAAAGTCGTAAGATAAAAATAAGAGAAAAAATGAAATTCAAGATAAGGGTTTTATTATTTTCCTTCAACATAAGATAAGTATCTTATGTTGTAGAGATAAAATAGGTGGGTCCCACCATTACAAGAAAAAAGAAAAAAAAAGAAAAAAGTGAGGTACGGAAATCGAAGTGAGAGAGTAGGAGAGAAGTAATCTTATGTGAAAGGAGAGTAATATTTCCCTTCAAGATAAATGATTAGAATTTTGTCGTATGGCAAAAACCGGTTAATATCGCTGGGTAATAGTACTGGTATTAGTTCTACTAGATGCATTGAGAGAATTGATCTCACTATCTCACTACCGTATCTAGCAAAACTCACCGGACTTTGCCACGTAGACCTGCTAATGGAATTAATAGGATTAAGAAATGATTTCTACATCATGACATATCGATTACTTAATTATTTTAAGAAATTGGAAATATTGTACATGGTCCAAATTAGTTTTAGGTATTGTTTGGTACGCGGATTCTTTTTGAAATTTCGGAAAGTAGGGTGAAGAAAATTGTTATGTCCTTGAGACAGAGATGTCTAGCCCAGTTAGGCTAGTGCGTTAATATTGGATCTGATGCCCTTTTCAAGGTATCTATGAGGGAGATACCCTTGAGTCAATGAGATTACTATGCACAGAATACTATAACAGCGTTAGCCAATGGGGTGTGTGTGCACAGTGACAGCATAACAATAAGAGAGAGAATGAATGTACATTTAGGGTTTGCCTTTGTATTTATAGAGGTTACCTGTAGGTAGTGTGGATAGCTATGCTGACACATTAAGATTAGGATGATTGATTAACATCAATCCACATCGTGGTTGTCCCTTGTTGGGCTTACCCCTTAATGGGCCCATTATACGGGTCCATAACAAAAACTATTTCCCACATTTAGCAGGAGGAAACAGAAAAATATTCCCAAGAAAAAAAAAAATCTCAACATTTGATTTTACACAACAAATTTCAAAACCAAAATCATGATGTATTTTTTATCCCACACGATTGTAAAGTGAAAACACATTTCTCATACCAAAATACCCCATTCCTCTTCTTCGCCGAATCCTACCCTCCATCACCAACCACTATCACCGTCGCAGGTGACTTGTCTTGTAAAACTTGGATCACACTAACTGGTTCAATCATAAATCAATAAACCAGTCGTTTAATCAATTCGAGTAACTAAGTGGATCTGGCATCCTCAAGATATGGATGTGACCGATGCGACTTGATTGAGTTTTATTAAAATCGATAACCATTTGGTTCACCGAATCAGATTGGACCTTGCCATTGATGGCATTAGAGATTGAGGGATTTATTGGTTTGGTGGTCGAGGGTGCAAACCTTGCGCTTCAAGAGTCAGAGAGCTTCTTCTAGGGGAGGGTGCAACTGGTCACGAGTGATGTTTGCGGCATAAAAAATGGTTGAACCACTTGTTTAACTCATCAAAATCAAGGGTGAACTTTATGGTCAGTACAGTATAACTCAGTTGACAAAATTAGAAAAAAAGAAATACAAAGCATGACAAAAGTCCAAAATGCTAAAGCAAGAAGGAAGAAATAAGGGTTTTTGACGGTACTGATGCATCTTTCGATATATTTCAGTTGTTTAGTTTGTTGGTTAAATGTATTACTTATATGATGAAGGAAGATGATGCGCTCATTTCTTAGATATTCCATTACACACTCGTCTTCCCTTATTTCTTAGGTAACACATTGTAATAAGGGTAATTTTGTAATTTTGGTCTTCCCACAATATTTTACGATCAACCAAACATAGCATCAAAAAAATTAACCCAACATTCTCGGAAAAAAATTGGCCTACCAAATAACTTTTTGGTAACATTCTCAGTTGAGTGAGAACTGAACTAGATTGAGCGGGGTGGAGTATTTATAGAGAATGGAGTAAGAAGGAAGGAAGAGAATGAATAAAACTATGAAAAAGATTGTCTCAAATGACAAAATCTCATTATTTTATTATATATATATATATATATATATATATATATATATATATA